TTGTTTAGTTGGATTTGTTGGTTTAATTATTTAGTTTCTCTCTGTCTCACAGACTATCATTCCATGGGGAATTTTGTTTTGAAGAAAAACCAAATGTTGGCATTTTTCTGGCAGATCAGGAAATCATGTATTCTGACAGCTCCTGGACATGTAGAAATTGGACTCTCCAGTCCTTTGTGACTCATGTTTCCACAAATTTCTATTTATGTAATCCTTGTTAATCCTTTGGGATGGAAAGCTTTATTTTTTTATCCCCAAGTAACCACAGATGTAGTCCAGTTCTTAACAAAGCTCCTGACTTCAAGGGAAATATGATAAAGCCACCTACAAGAAATAAATACCAACCTTGAACAAGGTAATGAAGAACCCTGACTTCATCACTCTCAAAACCTGACTCATATGTGGGCAGGAGAATTTTCCTGAAACCTTTACTGTTTGTTCTTTGGTAGTCATTACAATGCTTGGTATATGTGCACAAATAGAAATCTCAGTTCCTAGCAAAATTGTTTCCCCTGATGTCCTTTAAAGGGTCACCACTTTACTGCCTTGTCTGTGAACAGAAAGAAATGTTGTTCCCCTTTCAAAAGGGATCTTTGTCTACCCTTGTGATTGAGAGGATGTTCCTGCTGAGGTAACTCAAGAGCATAAGGGTCACCCTTTGAACCTTCATCTACTGCAGCTGAATCCTCAAAGCTCATTTCTTTCTAATCCTGATTTCTGTGCTGTGTCATGGGTGTCGTACTTTCTCTTTTCTTTCCTCTTCGAGCTATCTCCCCAGGGTACAGTTCCTTTCCCTCGCTGTGTACACTCAAGTTCAGACTCCTATAAAGCAGAAGGGGAATCTGAAAGACAGAAGCTAGCTGATACCTTGTGTTTCTGTTAATTCCTCTCTACTGTTCAGATTACAGTACTGTGCAAATCACAGTGAAAATCCTTGGAAAGTCCCTGGTTAATGGACTGAGCACTTCCTGGACAATTCGACAATTTTGTGCAATTTTAACGCAATGGTTGCCTGCCTCTGTAGCCCACCTTTGTGTACTTTCCCCCACTACATATTTACCTTAGGAACTGAGTTGTGCTGCCACTTAGACTATGATATCAGAGTAGAAACAGTACTTTTTCAGTACTTTATTGAAGACTGAAGACTTTTTTGCTCTTTAATAGTCGTTGTGTTTTATTCTGTCCAGACTGAAAGTAACAGCCTGTTTTGCATTCTTGTACATGCTCAACACTGAGAGATTTAAAACTTGTGGTAGAAGTTGTGCCACTTCAGAAGTTGTGGTGAAAGCCTTTGAAGAGATGGTAGGTAAGGAGCATTCAGATCTGGCTTCTGCTCTCATAAACATCCACAGCAGCTTCATGGGCTACTTTGGATAGCACCCTCAGGGGCTGTGAGCAGGCAGAGAGATCCAAGAGCAGCACTGAGGTTGCTGTTGTCAGTGAATCCCACAGCTGGAAGGGATTGGATGCTTGGATGGGCTGTGGTCTCATCCAGAGAAAGCATTCACAGGGGCTGCTGCCTTCCAGCTGAGAGGTCAAAGTGCAGTAGGAGGCCTTAAGTTCAAGTCTTAGTACACTTTAAATCTAGCCTTGCTTATTTGTCAAGCCAGCCTCTTGCAAGGTCTTCCTGCCCTTCTTTCTCTGTTAGGTTTATTACAAACTTCATGGTACTGAGGTCCATTTGGCTCAAAACTCTTGGATTTGTTTATGACAACCACCGCAGGACTTGGAAAATGCTTGTTGGTTGTGCTGCCTCTGGGTGGCTGAAGTCTCCAACAGGTCTTCATATACTTGATGGAAGACCTTCTGGAAAGCTGATGGTGCTACAGATAAGGATACAGCTGCAGGGTTGTTGAACTGCTCTAAACATGGCAAAATATAGAGATGAGAAGGAAGTGAAAATTAGTTTTTGATTGCTTGGTTTTCAGAATTTTCCCTGATGTTGTGCCTTTGTGGTTGATTTGGTGGTTCCTGCAATTCCTTTGACTACAAATTATTTGATAGTTCTTTCACTCTTCTTTCTTAACTTTATTTTTTTGAAAAGGCAAAATTGTTTAATTGTTGGTTTCAGGGCTTACCACTTACTTTAACTAATTTAATAAAAAAATATGTGGTTGGAGTGGGACCAGATGGGTCCAGAGGAAAAAATAACTGGCTATAAGATGGAGATAGCTGTTCTCATGCAGTAAGTTTTCCATCCTAATGTCTGATACTATTTTGCCTGACACCTTGAGGACATACGTTAGTTTAAATATTTGTGTAGTTTTGGGGTTTTTTTCCATATGTAGAATTGTTCCAGCCCATAAGTGTCACAAGTGGTCTGTACAAGGAAACTGCTACAAAAATACATTATGCAGTTTTTTCTGCATGTTGATTGTGCTGTTAGGGTGACCAGAGAAGACTATCCATCATTCCTTTGATATAATTAGTTTCTTATGCAAGGTACATTCTTACTGTTTCTTTCCCCCTTTCAACAACATATTAGTTATAGAAGTAGTCAGTTGGTAGTTGCCATGTAAAAGTGTCATGGTTTATATTATGCTGTGCAAGATTAGATTAGCATACAAATGCCATAAAACAAGTAATAGTATTGTTCTACTGCTTGGTTGCTGTAGCAAACAATTCTGGGAGCTGCATTTTATAGCTTAGGCATCTGAAGTGGGAGAACAGGGGGAGATACATGTTCCATTGTGGTTTCCAGACCATGGTATAATCAGGGTTCGGGTGAGAACAAAATCAGTCATGGTGCAAACTTCTATTGAAAACTTGGGGACATTTAAAGACTCAGTTGCAGTGCAACTGAAAGTACATCTTTAACATGAGTTTGGAGAAAAAAGCATAAAAAGACTGACCTCCTCCATCCCCTGCATCCCAATCTCCCTTGCCCTTACTCAACATACCTAAACAAGGGTATAGCTATTTTTTTAAAACCTCCTTTTTTCCTACCTCCCAGATCATGAGTTAAAGAATTTCTTTTGCTGAGGGAAAGCAAATCAGAGGTTATACAAAATTTCACTGAAGCAATTTTCCATAAACTTTGCCTAATGATTTTCTGAATGCTGTTTCCTGAACTTTTGACCTCCCCAATGTTAGGTAACTGCTATTACCAATTTTTTCACTTTGCGGGAAAGTATTTAAATTACACGCATGTTTTTGATGTGAAATCCTCATTTTTGGTGTGACGAGAAAATAACTGAGGAACAACCATTTATTTTTTCTCAGCATTACGCCTGAATTTATAGACATCTGTTTCTACCCTTTTTTCCAATCATTCGCCAGCCTGAAAGATTCCACAATTTTTCCTCATGTAAATGTTTCACATACTTCTGAGCATTCTCACCAGCTTCCTTTTACCCCTCTTTATAGTGAGCTCTGCACCTTTCCAAACCTCTCTCTCTGGCAGTTGCCAGAGTTTCACTCAGTGTTAAAAGTGCAGTGAGATTTGGATTTCATGTTCTAGCTTGAGGTTTCCCAGATCTATTTTACTGATAATGATGAGCACTGTCTTTCTTCTGGCAGCTGTGGAGTAGAGTTCTGATGTTTATTGAAGGACTTACTGCAGTTCTGTTCCCCACTGGAGGTGGATTCTCTGTTCCTTTCACAGAGTGCATGTCCATGTGCAGATGTGTTTTCCCAATGTGTGCTGACCTCCATTTTTCAGCATTAATTTCTTCTGCCTTTCCTGTTCCACAGTCATTTACAAGAATTTAATGATGAATCATTGATGATGATGAAATAGCTCCTGGTGGTCAGTAGCTTTGTGCAGAAGATGAATGTAACCAGATCTCTTCCAGATTTTCTATAAATGAAGGCTCTGTGCAAAGGGGTTATATGAAAAGAGTTGGAAACTGATGTTGATTTTTAAATGTTAAGAAACATGTAGTTGGCTCTTTTTTCTCTTTTTTTTCTCTGTTCATTCACATTTATGTAATGACCTAAGGCTGACTCTGATGGCTGGTTGAAATCTAGTGTGTTTTATCTTTTTCTTGATACCGTCTTGGATAGTAAAACATACAGCATATTCTTCAGGTAGGAAGTATTTGGGGAACGTAGCAGTTCTCAATAGGAAGGAAAGCACAGTTTGTCTTCTGCCTAATTTCCCTTAGTCCTGTTGCAAGTACTGAAGAACATTATTTGCTTCCCAAGATTTAAAGAAGAGTCAATTGTGTCTTCCAATAAATGAAATTGAAGGACACCATCAAAGCTTATTTGAAGGTGCTTGGAAGATAGTCCCTGAAAGAAATGTTTTAACTGTTGGTTATTGAGCAATGACCAGGACAACTTAAAAGATTAATTTCTCTTAGAATGCATTAGGATTTTCTATATATTGTGTGTTTAATACTCTAAAAAATGTGTGAAAACTGGTGGAAGGACAGATGCATATCACTACAGGCTGGGTACCACAAGAGACCTTTCCTGTAAAGCCAAGGTACCTGGGAACTGTGGGCATGTAGCATCAGACTTAAAAAATCCTTCAAAACTTAAGAAAAAGTGGATTACTGATTTTGATACAGATTTCTGAATTAGATGTACTTGAAAATGCATGCTGGATTTATAGGAGTGATAAATTCTAACAAAACTTGAAACAGTAGAACTTTTTTGTTTATAAATGGTGAGGTGGATGGATGGGCCACCTGTGGGTGCAAGCAAGGTAGTATAGTTAATGTGATGTAAATCAACTAGCGTGCAATTTAATAAAAAGAAGCCAGGGTTTTTTTGCTCTCTGCAAGTATGAATGCTGCATGAGCCTCCTTGTTCACTGGTCTCTACAGATTTCCTTCTCTGAGACTGAGCAAGCAGTGAGCAGAGCTGTTCTGTAGCACTGTTGCTCTCTTAGGGAAAAACAGAAGGAAAAACCTGAAAGTGCTGCAAATAACCCCTTTTTATCTTCACTGCTTCATCCAGACTTGTGAAATTGGTTTAAAATTCCTTAAACTCTCTTACTTGGTTAATAATGTGTTTTCCAGCACGCTAACATTTGCTGTTTAAACCTTTGCCAGGACGGGAGCAGTTCCATGGCCTCGGGTCTATGTACTGCAGAGGAGCGGCTGCTGTGATCCTCACGTACGACGTGAACAGCCTCCAGAGCCTGACAGAGCTGGAAGAAAGATTCTTGGCTCTGACAGACAGTGCAAGTGCTGACTGCATTTTTGCTATTGTTGGAAATAAAGTTGACCTCAGTGATGACTGTACTTTAGCACCGGATGAAAACAGACCCGGGAAGTCTGGTGCCAGCTGTGGCTCAAAGGTGCGAAAACAAGTCCGTGCAGAGGATGCAATCGCGCTCTATAAAAAGATACTGAAATACAAAATGCTAGATGAGAAGGATGTTCCAGCAGCTGAGAAAATGTGTTTTGAGACCAGTGCAAAGACAGGATACAAGGTGGACTACCTGTTTGAAACTGTGTTTGAGATGGTAGTCCCAATAATCATACGGCAGAAAGCTGAGGGGCCACCGCAAACCGTAGACATCACGGACTACAAGCCAGCCAAAAGGACAAAATCAGGTTGTTGTGCCTGAACCATCTATGTGACATAGAAAAGGGGAGGGATTGTTCACTCCAGCAAAATGAGGACTATGAACTGCTTGCAGTTGACCAGAAAGGAAAAGTCAAGGAATAAGTAGACTAAAACGGCGTATTAAAAAAAGAAAAGAAAAGAAACAATAAATCTTCTGACCATGAAAGGCTTCTGGGAAGCTCTATGTATAAAAAAATGGGAATGCAAGTGAAATTATGGATTAAGACTTGCCGGTTTCCATGGGCTCTGAAGACAAGTGGTGTGTTATTAGAATGGGTAGTGACAATCATTTGGACAGATTTGAAAGATTCTGATTTTTAGTGACTTGCCATTTCATGTTGCATGTAAATGATCTGTTTGTGTACTCTTGAAAACTTTCATATGATGATCTTTTCCCTTACGATTCTGACTTTGGAAGACTGAACACGCAGTACTTTTTTATTCTTAAGGAAAAAAAGAAAATCCAGGTATATTTATATTTGTAGCTAATAAATCAATTGCAATCTTTTTATGTCAGACTTGACAGCATATGATTCAGAAGCTGAACTATTAAAATCACTGTGGATATGTACTGTTCATTTGGAGACTTTATTAATGAGAATTCTTCTTCCATAGTGGGCTTTCATGTGTTAACAAGCAGTATCCCAGCTCTGGCTGTTCTAATTGCAAGTTGCAGGAGGAATTTTTTTTCTTTCCTTCCATTTTTCCCTTGTAATTCTTTTTAATATAGGTGGGTTTTGGGGAAGAAATCAATCTTATTTTGTCTGTATTTTTGTAAAAACCTCTTTTTGGTGCCTTTAGCGGTCTCATTGTGTTCAGCATCTGTGTCTGTCTCTTTTCCCACTCCTTAGTTGTTCTCAGGCAGAGCTGCAGCTTTGATTTTTATCAGCTATGCATGACATTGCTACCTGGAGTAGTAATTACCTCTACCTGGAGGGAAGTGAAGACTGGTGTTTTCTGATGTGAAACAGGCTAATGCAGGAGGAAGGGAAGAAACTGCCTTTTGTGGAGTAAGAGGCCCATGAAGGAGCAATAATGAGGTACAGGTTTCTCTCCTGACTGCAGTAAAAAGGTGTGGCTAACACTTAGTACAGCTCCTGGAGTTTCCCAACCCTCTCAGCTACAAAAATGCACGTAGTGACCCAGGAGCTCACACTGAACTGAGGCAGAGTGAAGAACTTCTAGTTTTTAAACACAACCTGAGATGCCCCCATTCCTTCCAAAACCAGCCAACCACTCAAGCCCAAGGATGCAGCTTGCATATTTTCAGTTTTGTGAGCTCCTGTGTGGGGACTCCATCTTCCTTTTGGGTGCCTCTGGTACAATTTTCTAAAACTAAGGGTTGGTGGTTCTTATTCTTTGTCACTGCCTCTCTCTGTCCCACCCAAATCACAGTTGTTCCATACATAGGGAGAAAATTCCTAAATAAATAATAAATTAAATTTTTACTAAATGTATTTAAAGCACTTTTTTTTTTTTTTCAGAAGTTCATCCTATTGAGCAAATTCCTGCAGAGCAGTAGCTTTATTTTCTGCTTTCAAGTTAATTCATAGTACACATGTAGTGGGGAAGAATGGCTTGAGAGAGAAACCACTCAGCATTAAATAAAATAATCATAGGTTTGGGTTGGAAGGGATCTTTAAATGTCATCTACTCTACTTCCCCATGCATTGAGCAGGTAGGTCTTCAGTTTGATCAGGTTGCTCTGTCCGATCAAAACTTGAATATTTCCACAGATGGGGCACCTACCACCTCTCTGGGTGGTGCAACAGGTGCAACACCTGTTGCAGTGTTTTACCAACCTCATTGTCAAAATGTCTTCCTTGTATCTAGTCTGCACCTGTCCTTTTGTGGTTTAAAATCATTACCCCTTTTCCTATTGCTACAGGCCCTACTAAGGGTTGTAATCTTTTGGGTTTGCCAGTGGCTTGCAGACACCTACCAGTGTCAGAGACTAAACAGCACCTGAGCTGTGGTATTTTAAAATGTGTATAATTAGAAACCTTCTAGTCATTAACACAATTCCAGGGCCAGTATGTAGTCTTCCCTCAGGACTGGGAAGAGACAAACAGGCTACACTCTCAGTTTTGTTTGTGACCAAAGGGTTCTGCAGACACACTTGTGAGAAGTCCAGCACTGGCTTTTCTGCTTCTGTTGGCAGCTGAACCTGCAACACATGCTGATTGCAAGGTCAGGCATTTTGGGAGATGTACATCTAGAAAGCACAGAATAGGAAAAATAGTTGTAAGTTTAACATCCAACACTTCTTAAGGTATAAATATTTGCAATTTAGTTGCACCAGCGCTTGATTCATATGAGAGGTTAAGTAATTCTTAGTCTTTCTAAGAGCTCCAACTTGGGTGTTTTCACCAAATGAGATGACACAGGAACCAGTCTTGTGTGCTGCACTCTTGCCTTTAAGGCTACTCTTGTCTGGTATGATGTTCTTGTTTTTTTTTAGTGTTGCTGGCTATTGTTCCTTGAGAAATTTCTGAGTTATGATGGGATGACAGCCTTTGTGAGATCATGGGATTACAGGACAAAACCTGGGAAGTAGTTGTGTAATACATGGGAGCTGTTGAAGAGGTCAGTTGTCTGGGGCTGGGCCTGTTGTGGTGATGCTGCTGAAGCCAAGGGAAATCCTCCCTGCCAGGACTGCTGAAGGTGGTTGAAAGCATGGACTAAGGACTCTGCCTGCCATGCCAGGGAGGGGGAACTCATTTGACAAGCATTTATTCCCCCTGCTTCTCTCCCTGTTGTGTCTGGATTATGTGAAGTGATCATATAGTGAAATAAAAGAGGTGCTATTTTTGGCCATGCTGGGTGAATGTGAGCTACAGGCCAGCCAGTGCCTGAGGTGATGGCTGAGCCAGGCTGACCATGGGGAAGGATCTGTGCCAGAGTGGTTGAGAAGGATCCATCCTGCTTTCTGCCCTCCACAGGCACTGATGGTGCAAAATGGAGTCTGCCATGGGCCCTTGACAACCCCAACAAGGCTACAAGTCTTGTGGGGGCCACAAAAGAACCTCCTCTGCCAGTGCCCATAGGGCTGGCAAAGCTTCTGAGCCTCTTAGCTGCATCCTTGCCCACATCCTGGTGGGAAGGCCTCCTGCCTGTTTCTGCTACTCTGTTAGTGAGTCATGGGGTGCTGTGATGTTGCTTCTGTCCCTTGTTCAGCAGGGTTTAGCTGTTGTGTGCACAACAACTGCAGGGCCATGTCCCCACTCCCCCTCAGTGAGTGGCCATGTCTGGAGGTGCCACTGGTCCCCATGGGGTTACAGGGGCAGCTGCTGCCTGCCCTTGGGTGCTTTTGGCATATTGGCAGTGACCCCTCAGCCTCTCCTCTGGCAACAATCTCACACCTCCTGTGCCAAGGCCATACTTGCTGTTTGCTAATTTTCTATTTCTGGCAGCCATGGACAAGCACAGTCATATAGGGTGTGAACAGACTCTGCTCTTTTGGTCAATAGCTCTGAGGGAATAATTGGGGTCAGCTCACATCACTATGTTGACTTCACTTATATCGGTGTTAATACACTGTTGCACTAATACCTATAGAAGGGAAATATAACCTCATTTATCTTCTCCAGGCTCGGCAGCACGTTATACTTCACATGTTTTCAAACAGGAAAGTGTAGGAAGCATACACCATGCTTTGAAGTAGAAGATGTGGTCAAACCAAGGCAAAACATTTGTGTTTTTTTTTACATCCTAGGCTGGAGCACTCTAGTTCAGTAAAAGGATTGTTTTGTTTTGCTGTAGCTGAGTTTTTTCTGTAGAAAGGTATTTTAGCTTCCTGAAAGTGGATTCTACAACTACAACTGTGGAATGGTTTGGGTTGGAAGGGATCTTCAAGAATCATCTAGTTCCAACCCTCTGGCCATGGGCAGGGACATCTGCCAGCCACTTGAGCAGGTTGCTCAAAGCCCCATCCAGCCTGGCCTTGAACACCCTTGGGTGTGGGACAGCTACAGCTTCTCTGTGCAATCTACTCTAGTGTCTCACCACCCTCACAGTAAAAAAATGTCCTCCTTCTGTCCAATCTAAATCAACCCTCTTTCAGTTTAAAACTGCTTCCCCTTGCCCTGTACACTACAGGTCTTGTTGAGTCTCCTTTAGGTACTTTGAGGCTGCTGTAAGATCTCCCCAGAGCCTTTTTCAGCTGAACAACCCCAACTGTCAGCCTGTCTTCCTAGGAGAGGAGGTAAACTTGCAGCTGAGAGGCAGTGTGACAAGTCAGTGTCCTTCCATGCAGTGGATGAGTCCTTCATGCTCTGGATGAGCTCACCAGGTGCAATCCTCTGTGTGCTGTGAGTGTTCCACGTGTCTGTGTGCAGAGCTCCCTGCCCTGCTCCGAGCCGCGATTGCGCAGCTTTGGGGAAACGCAGCTCTGGGTACATGGACCTGAAGCACATGACACACACCAAGTACAGAAGCTCAAGCCTGCTTAGCACCCTGTGAGTTTTATGGTTGGTTTGTCTTTTCCCTGCACTATGCTGATGTGTTCCACTTAATGCTGTGCTGGGACCACTCTGAACAAACTTGTTAAGATCAGCTTATTGAATCAGAGAAAATGAAGAGGCAAAGCAACTGTTGGTGGAAGAACCACGTGCTGAAGTTTTATGTGCAAGAGCAATGATCTTTGTAGGAAGATTAGGCAATACATTAGCCATGAAAATCCAAATAGTTTGCTGCTGTTGTTGACATAATCAGTTTTTACAGATTTGTTTAACCTTCACTTGAGTTTTCTTAAACACTGAATGTGCTACATTGCTAGAGTTACATGCTGTACAACCCACAAGTGATAGTTGTATCCTACAAGCACTGCTGCCTAGCAATATGTGGAAGAGGCAAATTGTGTGTTCTTGAGTATTTGTTATTGCCATGTTTAAGATAATTGGCAAATATGGAATAAATTTAGCTCACATTGACTGCAATGCTTTCAGTACTAAAAGTTCTATTTAGCTGAAATAAATAAAAGTGTGATAAGTTTGTTGAGGGGCTGCCTTTCAGAACTAATGCAGGGTCAGAGAGCTCATTTAAAGCTCAGGTAATTTCTCTGTTTATGGCTATATCTAATTATATGAGGAGCTAATGTAGGTCAGACAGTGTGCTAGGTAAATACCTGAAGGCAGCCTACTAGAAAGATGGCAGGGGACTTTTTACAAGGGCATGTAGTGCCAGGACAAGAGGGAATGGTTTCAAATTGAGAGTAGGTTTAGATTAGATATTAAAAAAAAATCTTTACTGTGAAGGTGGTGATGCACTGGAATACGTTGCCCTGAGAAGTTTTGGGTGCCCCATCCCTGGAAGTGTTTAAGGCCAGGTTGGATGTCACTCTTAACAACCTGTTCTAGTGAAAGATCTCCCTGTCCATGGCAGGGGGCTTGGAACAAAATTATTTTTATGGTCCCTTGCAATTCAACCCATTCTATGATTCTAGACTTTTAACTTAATTTATATATATATATATTTTTTTTTTTTTTTTTTTTTTTTTGTGGAGGTAACACTTGTCAGGTCTGGTTGTTATAAGCTGCAATGCCACAGTTTATTTGCTTTCATCATTCTAACAACAGATTAAATACTATTTTACTTGTTCATCTTAAATAAGTGATTTTAGAGACAGCTTCCCTCTTAGATCTTTTTAAGTGCAATGAAACAAACAAGTGTTCCCCGGTTGAAGAGTTTGAGTTTCAGTGGGAGGAGTTTGCTGGGAGTGCTTTTCTAATTCCTTAGTGCAAACAAACTATTTCAACAGAGTAGTCCATATGCATTATATGGAAAAACACAGTTTACAAAACAGAAATCACCAACAAATAGAGATGTAGAAAAAAGGGTTTATTTATGATACAATGAGGTTGGAATGTAATAATAAAAGCCAAGAAGCACCTGAAGCAGGAGTGAGGTGAGTTACTGAAAAATCACTGTCATTGCTATAAATATTAATCAGATTATGTGAACATGAAATTTGTAGCTGATCCTTTTTTCCCCTCCTCTCTTGCAGTGCTGACAGACAACTTTGGGCTAAATTGTTTCTCTCTAGAGAAGGAAAGAACTAGCCATTCTGCCAATTATCACCCCTTTTCTACAGGAAAAGATGATGCCAAATAAATGCCTTGCTTCCCTCCCCTTTGCTTTTGCAAGGATGACTCTGCAGGTTGGGATGGTGGCCATCCCATTGCCACTTGTCCCCAGCTGTCAGGACAGGACACGTTAAAGAGCCAGCTGGCAGGGCTGCCAGTTCTGTGTTGGAGGGTCATGTGGCCTCCAGCACTCCTGCACACCCTACCCTGTGTGCTGCTCCAACATGATGTGCCTAAAGCTTGTTTGTGATGAGTGGCTTCATTTTGGAGGGGAAAAGGTGCAATGCAAAAACCAATTGCTGCTGCTGTGGGGGTGGTGTGACACAGATGAAATGTCCACAGCATGGTGGAGCAAGGGATTGTTTGGCTTGGGGTATGTCTAGGAAAAAAACACCATCAAGCTTGTAAAATAAAATAAAATGCTAATCTTCTTCATGTAGACTTCTAACCAAACTGAAAGAGTTGCTTTTTGTGATTTACTGTTTTTGGGAGCCTGTGGGCTTTGTTACTGGCAGTGGTTAAGTGCTAAAGCATGGTGAGGCTTTGGAGGAAAAAAAAAAGATGGTGTTGGGTGTGCTTGAAATGCCCAAGCAGAAAATACTAAAATGTAAATTAGGTTTCAGTGCTGGACATGAGCATTTTGGACCACAGTACATTTTCAGTATTTTGCAACAATTTAGGACTTAGATCATCTTGTGTTAATTTATGGAACTGCAGCTGTTAGTGTTTACTGTTGTGACAAATACAGTAAATAGAAAGATACATATATTCTCTTCAGGTAAAGGCGGTGGGTATCTGACCAAGGAAACCTTTTATTACTGAAGTTCTTTTGGTGTTTCAAAGCTGTGAGTATTTCTATCATTTGGCAAATGATGTAATATTAGACTAGCAAAAAATGTGTATATATTCTGCATAGTGGGAGAACACACCACTAGATCTGTTTGACTTAATTTGTGTTATACTTAACTTGCTTTTACAGACATTTAAAAAATTAATTTCCATTCAGCTTTTGAGGTAATAAGTTAAAAAAAGCACCAACATGATTTATTCAATTGTCTAACCACCTCAGAAGGCTCCTCAGTACAAGAACTACGTGATAAGGAGGTTCCTTATACTGCGAGAGACTTCTATAAGTTTTTCATACAGACTTGACATCTGCTGATATGGCTTCGGATGAGTCCTGCCTTGAGCGTGTCTCCCGAGGGCTTGCTTTGGAAGGGCTGGTCGATGGTGGTGAGCCAGAAGCTGTATTTGTTTGCAAAGTAGTGACAGGTTCCGCGGGCGCCGTTGCATTCGATGAAAGGAGTCGCCCTGAAATCTTCCAGGCAGCTCCCAGGAGAAACCAGCGACTGTCCTCCACCTTCATCACCAGCAGCAGTGTGCTAAGGGAGACAAGGAGGGCAGTGTTCAGAGTGCAGCCTCAGGCAGTGCTGGCATAAACTTACATGTGTGAAAAGAGAAAAACCACTAGAATTGCTCCCAATTCTTATCTCCAGAGCAGAAAGTTGGCCAGTCCTGCAGCTGTGTAAGGGTTTGGCTATGCTATAACTATATAAAGCAGCTAGCCCATGTGCTGATGCCTCTTTGAAATCTTCTAGCAAGCATCTTTTCTGTAGTTAAGATTTTCACTGTTGGAAATTTTAGAATTGGAGAATCATTTAGGTGGGAAGGACCCACTGGAGGTCACTTCCCCCAGTTCCCTGCTCAAAGCAGAGCTGACACCAAAGTTGCCCTCAGTTGTTCCACAGTGGAGTTGTTAATACCTCCAAGGATGGACCTCCCACAACTTGTCTGCACCATCTTGCTCCTCTGTTTTACTACCCTCATTAAGAACAATTTTTCACCATATATTTAATTCAAACTTCTCAAATTATAAAGTCTTACTCTGCATTGCATGCGAGGAGCACTGCAGAAACAGAATTGGCTTCTATACAATAACTAGTTCCTTGTATTACGTGGTTTTTTAACACCAGAATCATGCATCTTTACACCACTCAACTGTTGCCTTTGACAGGTACTGTGATAATGAACTGAATGTTGCTTTTCTTCTGTCAAAGGCATTACTAACAAAATGGGCACTTTTTCTGTCCCTTTAATAAATACACAGCTGTCTTCTTAAGCTATACTGTAGAATTTTTGTTAGGAACTGAAAGAATCTGTACTATAAAAGAAAGCAGCTGGAAAATAAAGTTCTTAAACAGTTTTGTAAATGTAGGGAATGTAAGAGGGAGCATAAATTATTTCAACTTTGAGGCCTCTGCAGTTGGAGCTGGAAAGCAGATAGTAAACCCTGCTGATGCTATTTGAGCCCTGGTGTGGGAGCAGCCCTGCTTGGCAACCTCAGGATGAGCACTGGTATTCCATGCTTGGTCTGTAAGCTCCAACTCTACACCTATAACATCTCTTCTGGTGTTCACTACGGCTTTTTATCCTCCTGCAATGCTTACCCATATAGGATGTGTGATAGTGGAGTGCCCTTGCTACATGAAATCTCACTGACTTCTCTGGCTCCTCTGTTTTGGCAGAGTCTGTGCTGACTGAGGATTGTCCCTTACTCAGGGGAAGGAGGTGGCAAATTTAAGCCAAGGAATTAAAACAGCATGTACTCTGAGAAAACCACAAGTGTGCTCTACTTCTTCCACAGTTGCCTGAGAAGCAAAAATGCATACACCAAACACTTCATTTGCTCCACAAGCTAGCTGGGAAAATGGGGATTTTTCTCACAGTGCTGACAGACTTTGTTCTGGCAAAAAGTTCTTGCTAAGGTGACAACTTTGCTCTTAACAATGCTCAGTGTTTACATGGGGCTCTGAAAATATTTAATTAATTCTTGGCATTCTTGTGAAGGAACTATGAGATTGGTATCGGGGCTTTTTATAGAAGCAAAAGGTCAAACACAGGGATGGTAAAAAATTTGACCTACTCTCTCAAAAAGTAGGGATTTTTATTTTCTGTACCTAATTTTGGATTTGCCTGTATCTTATTTTCTGAAAAATTAAGTTTTTGGCTTTTGACATACAAATGGTTTGTGGGTATGATTGATTATTGTTCTTTTATGATGTCTTCTGCCACAGAAATCTTGTTTCTTTTCCAGTACTGTTTACTTCAGGATTCAGCCCACTCTTCAAAAAGTTAACAACATGGGCATGCTGCTGCAGGTTTTGACTCTTGTGTTCATCAAGCAAGTCAGAAAAATGAGCATCTGTCAGACCATTCACTGACATTTTAGATGCTCTTTACCGTGCTAAGCTCTCTGGGGCTCATATTATTCCTCTGTAGAGTCTTGCAAAAAATGATCAGGCCTTTCAGTAGGTTTTCTGCTGTACACCCAGCACTAAGTTTTTCTGTAACATCCCATTTCCTAATTATAAGATCACAAGATTGAAGACTTGTAGGATGTACAGCTCAGCTCTTACTGCCAACAACACTGAAACTTAATTTTTAAAACAATCAGAGGCTGTCTCTCTTTCCAGAGTAAGTGAAAGACTTTGGCTTCAAAATCTTCAACCAAAGCACCAGCGATTTTTAAATTTTGAAAAGAATGGAAAAAGAATGTTGTTGCTTTTTCTTTTTTCCCCCTAGATCAGCTTCTTAGTAGTGATGTATGTAAATAACTCCAAATCTTTAGCTGTGACAATGCTCTGTATGCTCCTGTTGCACCTCATTGTAATTTTATTTGTTAAGTCACAGCTGTCCTTTAATTGTGTTCTAAAGTGCTATTTTGTACATAAAGATCTCCAGATGCTACTCTGACAAGAGACAATTTTCTCTGAAATTCACAGAAATTTTCATCTTCCTAAAAATTACTTTTGTAGTTCCCTGGTTCCCCAGTATGATGCATGGTTTTGGTCTTGCTGCCTCTGAAGTGGAGCAGCCTTACTAGTACCAAACATTCAAATTTAAAAGCCATTGCTGCACAAAATGTGACCCTGGAGACCCAATACCATAAGGAAGGAATATCCGATCCACAAACTGCGCCAGCCTTCAGGGCAGTGAGGAATAGAAGCTTCTTGGCTGTGGACAGCAATTGCCACAGCTGGGGCCTCACAGACCGAGCAGCGACTGATATATGGCTTAATGTCTTCTTCTGCCACGGGCATCATTGGGAGAGGTGCTGTGGTTGAGAGCCAGTAGGATTTATCATTTCGACTTGCATAGTAACAAATGTCCCCAGGGTTACAGTAGAGGAATGGCATGGTGCTAAAGCGAGACAAACACGAGCCAGCCAGCCCTGTTCAAAAAGAAGAAGCAAAAAGCAATCATTCTCACAGAAGACAATGCACACTTCCAGCTTCCTGCTCTTTCCCAAGTACCTGCCAGGAAAGCCCCATGGTCCAGAATGTTTTGCTGGCTTTACAGGTGCCCTCAAACAACACTAATGATTTGCAGGAGCTCTCTTAGGGCCACTCCATGAAGACATGCAGTTTTTATATTCTCGTTTGGGTGCTTCCTAAGCCTGTTTGTTGTAGTCCCAGCCTTTGGAATCCAGGCTGCTGCCAGCTGTTTAGGTCCACTCTGGCCAGCTATGGACTGCAGCCCACACTGTCTTACATGGACGAAAGCAGAAGACCGGAAGCGCTCTTCTCCATGTGGGGACGAACGTCCTCTGTTTATTGCCTTGAGAACCACCACATGGAAAAACCCGCATGGGAAGAGACCTCATGGCTCATGGCGGGAGACACTTATATCCGGGGAATGGGGGGAGGAGGAGAAGGACCACGGCCAATGGGATACCAGTAGGGAGGGGTGAGGGGAGGGACTAACCAGGGAATAGACCACCAGGGGGTATTGGGGACAGGGGTGGCTGAGGGAGAAGCCCTGTGATAGGAGAGGGGGAAGAACAAACCATGTGATATAACATAAACTATTCAGTGCAATATAAAGACTACTCTGTGCAAATCTCTAATAACCCAGTGCAAAACAACTAAATAAACTAGTGCAATACAACAAGCAGTATTTGTACATACCTAGATCCTGGTTGTGTGCTTTCTCTTGTCCTTCAAAATAGAGCAGGCTGTATCCACTCCAGAGTTTGTTCATGCCCACTGGGCACATTGGCTCTTGGTCGGACTGGCTGTGCTTCACCAGCAGGTATCCCATGCTGACACTGCGGCCCGGCATGCCTGGGGGCCCGGGGCTGCCGGGGCGGCCTGGCTGGCCTTAGAGGAGAGCAGAAAAGAAAGAATCCAGCTGGGTTTGTGCTCCTACAAATGATCTGGTGCTAGCTGATATTCCAGCTAAGCTGATGGCGAACAGCTTAATGGCATGATGCCTTTGCTTTACGGTAAGTTTTTGTTAGAAGAGCTGCAGTTCTAGGATTATAACAGTTGCTGGATCAGGCTCCCTGGTTTCTAACATAATGCATTTCATACCAGAACTAGGGAAAGTCACAAATAAAGTTCTGATGAATTTGAGCATACAGGATGAGCAGATTTTTCCTTTAAAATATTTTCTTAGTCCAAGATTAACCAGTGGTTGTTGGACTTCTTGCATTTGACTCATACACTTGAAACTATGCTCTGGAAATACCTTTTTTTTGTGTGCGTAGCTAACTAAGATAGTAATAGTTCTGCTCTTTGATTTGATAAGGACACAGGTATTTCCTTTGCAGATACATTCCCTTAAACTATCCAAGTTTCACCTACCCAGCCATTCATCTCCATGAATGTAACTGTTAGTTAAACACTAGGCTGAAAATACTTAAAGAGAATAAATACACTCAGAATGAAACAAAGTCATGAGTGGACTGATATTTACAGCTATCAAAATTTATTCTGAAAATACTGCTCTAAGGTAACTCTTAACATTTAATTAGTTGTCCCTTGTGAAGTATCTATGAAAACAGATGCTCTCCTCCCCTCCCTTTCCCTCTCCTCCTGCACCTTCCTTTTGCTCCCTGCCCCCTTCTCTTGTCCCCTCCTCTCTCTCCTCTCATTTCCTTCCAGTGAAGTAGTAACTGCAGAGAGATTAAGTGCAGAGAAATGGGAAAGAGGAAAAAGGTGATGTGTGATATCTCTTACCTTCAAATCCCACCGGACCCTGAAATCCCATTCCTCCTTGTTCCCCTCTGGAGCCAGGAGGAGCTGGAATGCCACCCCTGCCCTGGAGTCCTGGCTCTCCTGGTGAGCCTCTGAAACCTTATACAACAATGGTTATAAGCACAGTGACTGCAGACATATCAACATGCCCATCCCACTTTGTTAACATGAGCTCTACTTGTGTACATTTGGTCCTGTCTGCTGGGTTTGCACTGAAGGTAAGTTCCTATGGTACTTGCTCAGGCAAAAAGCACCAAGTTCACTAGAAAAGCTTGCTGGGGTCAAGACTACATGAGTCCCACAACCTTAATCCTTCTCTCTTGGCACCACTTATCTCTGATGAGGCTCATGGCAAAAGGTGCAGTGCATCAGCTCTACACATCACTGATGCTATGTTATTCCCCGAGCTGACAGTGTTCCCACAAGGATGTGCATTTTTCACCAAAAATGTTCAGTCTTGATGTGCATGAGATCCGTATCTGATGTTGCTTTGGCTTTGTGAGTGTTGCCAAAGTTATTTCCTGTTTTGCTTATGTTCTGAATGCTAGGAGGAGGAAGAAAGCTGAAGCCTCAGCTTTGGAAGACTAAAAATTGACTCTCCTTTCTGGATTACAGACTTTAAAGTATAAGAGCATCAAATCAGTGCTCTAGTGGCCTGTCTGCTAAGGGGAACAGCTTTCAGTCTGAATATGTGATTCCTACCTGGATCTCCTGGTGGGCCCTGAGGTCCCATATCTCCTGGACTTCCCTGAGGTCCTATACTTCCACGGGGACCCGGTGAACCTTGCTCAGCAACCAGCCTTGGAGGATCAGGGGCTCGCCCAGGAGAACCTGGAGGTCCCTGGAAGCCTGTCATTAGAAGCAAGATAGTTTGATTCAGAAAAACCCCAACCACCCTATATTTTTTCCTTAATGTACTTTCATCCAGAGACATGTTGCTCTTACTGGGCTGCATATGCATGAGAGGTCTATGGTCTGCGACTCACCAGCTTGGGTATAGCAGCTATATTATATTGGGGAAATATGTGTGGGTATGGGACGCCCAAGATGAGACAATCTCCAAGTATGGGATCATCTCCAAGAGACTGTCTTCACCTGAACTGTACATAGATAAGCAAAAGGAAATTAATGATCCTACTGCTCCCTCATTTATGACACAGGAAGCTGGAAAGTTCCCCCCCAAACAGCTGCAAGTCTCTGAGATGCGGCACCATCTTTTGGTGGGCTTCAAGAGACACAAATACGTGATGGTATAGATGGAGTGGTGGATTTTAAAGCTCTCTTTAAATATTCAGGATGTCTACTCTGCAGGATTAATTTAGACAATAAATCCTTCTTTTTATTGACTGCAAAAGTGGCTCTGATTTTGGAGTTGGCACCTCATACAAGTCAAATTCATAAAGCCAAAACTTGACTACTCATGTTAAATTCAGGCATCTGCCCCCTGGAATTTTCCAGAATTCACAGAGTCATGCAGGATGGAGGGCTCTGGAGGTTACCAAGCTCAACCTACTGCTCAAAGCAGGGCCAGTTAGATCAGCTCTGTGGAGCTGCAGAATGAGTGGTTTCAGGAGGAGTCACACACATGACTGCACACACTTACCCGTTACTCCTCTATCCCCCTTGGGTCCAATGGGTCCCAGGTCACCTGGAAATCCTACTGTGCCCATAAAGCCAATGACACCTTGTTCACCCCTGGGACCTTTAATGCAAAATGACAAGTGGCATTATTGCATTTCAGCACAAACCAAGTGAGTGCAAAAGTCACGGTGTTAAAGCTGCTGTAGCACAGAAGGCTCCCCTGCTTTCTGCCATGATCAGCATTTCCCATCCTTACCTTTTGGTCCAGGGAATCCAGGCAGGCCAGGTCTTCCTGATAATCCAGGATCACCTCTACTTCCTTTTGGGCCGATTTCTCCAGTCCTACCTGTTTCTCCACTTTCTCCTTTGCTTCCTGGTGGAGCAGGTGTTCCAGGCTGCCCCTGTGGTCCTGGATAGCCTGTTTAGAGGACGTATAGATTGTACTCTGTTTATACTTAACACCTGGGCACAGAGGAAAGTAACAGAACTATCTAACTGTATCCATCAGGTTCTATTTCCTTAATTTAAGCAGGGGACAGACTTATTCAGCACTCCTGCTCCTGCTCTCAGGCTGGCAGCAGTGGCAGAGGAATTAGAGTATGAAACTCCCACAAAACAGTGTTTTCTCAAGCAAGATTTCAGCAGAAATAGGGTGCCTGCTGAGATACAGCCTTCCATGAACTATTCCTTCACTAGCAAATGCCCCACTTCCCTAGGTGTTTCCTTGCTTCATCCTAAATTATCCAAGTAGCTAGAGAGAAATCAGAGAGCAGCAAGTATCTGACTCAGAGCCAAGGACTTACTGTTCTGTGTATCTTAGTGCTTCAGTTGAACATCTGGAACCAAGTAAGTACTTCATGTTATCTTGGGAATTATGGGAACAGCTTCTTTTTCTAGAATTTCATATTGCCTGAAGCTAAACCTGGCAGGATTCTCTTCAGTTACCTCTGCTGCTTACAAGACATTTGGACCTTTTTTTCTGAGGAGAGAATAGCCCTTACTATGTAGGGTTTTGAGTGGGGCATCTCTTGTGCTACCTTTTGAAGCTGGATCACATGAGAATACGACTGCAAGATACATGTGGCAAAGTCAGAGTGAGCCACACTTGTCTCACCATTTTGGCTGGAATATGGTGTTCCTGTTTCCACTTTCCTGACCGCTTGGAGAGTTGGAATCAGTATGCAAAGTCAGGCCAACTAACATCCTCTTTAAACTTGGAAGCCTAGGCATTTTGTTGGTTTTCAGCTGGTTTGTCTGTTCTAAGCTTTTGCTGAGTTTACATAAAAATTTCCATCCACCATATAAGATGTTTGTGGAACAACTTCTGCTACAAATTCTGCATAGTGGCACTGCAGTTTGAAATGACTGAGCAGTCCAATAAGGTACAGGAATTTTCAAGAAGGAAGAGCTAATCCTTTCCAGTGTAATTTAACTTGCATGGTCATTTCACATAGGAGAATTTTGTGAATGATTAAGACTATTTAATAGACTTGCAAGTCTACCACAGACCTCAGGTTTTAGAATAGTAGATTAGCATGATGCTTCTGAAAGTTGTCAAGAGAATTCTGGATTATTTAATCTGGTATTTGCATGAAGATCAAACCCTCCCATGAGGACAACCAAGCCTTTTGCTTTCAAGAGGTTATTATCTATCTGATAACCTCTCTATTATCTGATCTACCATGAGTTCTGTCCAACAATTTTAGTGCTATATTTAATAGGGCTACTTTACTGATTCAAGACAGAAATAACAATGACTGCTGTTGCATGAATTACCTGGTACTCCATCTAGACCTGGGGAGCCTTTATCACCAGGATATCCTGATATATTTGAAATCCCAGGAGGCCCTGGAAATCCTTCCTGCCCAGGAATACCAAAGGATCCTGGGACTCCTGAAGGGAAAAAAAGAAATAATTAATACTGCAAGGAAAATGCACAATTGCAATTAAAATGAGTCACCTTAGACTAAGGAGTGGGATTTTCAAAATAGAAAACACCTGCAGTTCCCATTGATTTTTGTTTTATTTTTTCAGATGAAAAAGAAGTAGTTTTTTATTTTTTAAAGAACCAAATACTAGTCCTCTCCCAAAGCTCTCTGGGCAGCTAATTACATTTCACTGTGTTGAATACTGATAATCTTGTGTCTGCCAGGTAAAATATTATTTCAAGATAGGAAGTACTCAAAATATCCTAGGTATACTGAAGCAGGCAGGAAGGCAGCTTTGTTCTTCTGTGCCTGCAGGGTCAGGGCTGACAATTAGCATTATCTGGCATGAGTTAAAACCAAAAGTTCAAATCCAAGAAGTTCTCTAGAGATGAAAAATTGTTAAGTGGTCAAAAATCTGCCCTACCAATAACAGATTATTCTTTTAAGTATCCTGAAGTTCTTAGGAAGCTGACCTTCTGTTTATAATTGTGACAAACAAAAATGAATGAGGTAAGCTGTTTTTTTGAATGCTTGATAATAAATCTCTGAATGGCGTTTGAGGATAGCATAGCATGTTAGTTACAATAAAGTGTAACACAAAAGAATATGTATGAGCCATTGAACCAAGCAGACAAAGGCTTTGTTTAAAAAACAACCCCCCCAAAAACATATGTAATTAGTTTATTTGTTCATAACATCAGTCTGGTGGCTTCTTGATGGATGAAAACCAGGTGGTGACCCATTCTGAGATGAGCACAGTCTGTTACAGCACAGAGGGCTGGAGCTTGCTCTGCACAAGGGATAGATGGCACCAGCAAAGCACTGTGTATGGGAACAGAGCCCCTGAGGTGCCAGCAGGACCATCACACATTGAGAGACAGTGAGGCTTTCAGGAGAAAGGGAAATATGGACAGGTTTGCAACAAAAAGAGAGAGGGGTCCTGCTTTTGTGTCACCGGAACTCGATTAAAAATATTTGGGGAGCTGATGGCTGAGAGTAGCCTCTGGCCTTTGCAGCTTGCTGAGCCCAGTGGGTGCTACAAGATGGGGAAGCAGCCAGGCTGTGCAGCACTGGGGAATACACACTGCTGATCCTGGGCAAGGGCTGGCTGAGCTGCAGCACAAACTCCAAACAGTGATCTCCCCAGCTTGGGGAGTTCACCCATTCACCTGTCTATACCATAGTGTATTTTGTGACGTCTCTAACACCCACAGAGGAAACAAGTCACAGGTGGATGCCATTCTCTGGAGCACAGACCTGGAACACCTCTCTCTCCCTTCTGGCCTGGAGGTCCTCGGCTGCCTTCTACTCTGCTTGGCTCTCCTGCTTCTCCTTTGTCCCCCACTGCACCTGGGAAACCTGCAGAGCCGTACCCATCTGGACCTGTTGAGTTGTTCAAAATAAAGAGGAAAGGTGAAACGTTTCTGCATACAACAGTGCATGCTAAAGGACATGTACGGAGCATGTGGATTTACAAAATACATAAGACTGTAATGGCTCATTGGATTAAAGGCTCATGATGAGAAAAAAGGCCTTGAAGTTTTAACTTTATCAGAGGAAAGAAATTATGATTTGAAGTTGTCTTCTGATCCACCTATGGAGTTGCACATAGTGTATGAGTTGTTTGCCAGAGCCCACAATATTGAAGCACATTCCAAAGCTTTGGAGGACACAGTTTAAAAAGTTGCCTTACAAAGATCTCACTGACCAAACTTGAAGAGAACACAATGTTGTGCCTGTGAACAGGCAGAATAACAGCCTCACTTACCTGGTGATCCTGGTAAGCCCTTAGTGCCTGGTAAACCATGCAGTCCACTGATTCCTCTGAAGCCAGGCTGGCCTGTTTTAAAATTATATTCATGATTATCATAATAATTTTTATTAGTCTGTATATATTCCTGGGCAAAAAAAAATCAAATGCTTGAATAAATGCGATTCTATATTAAAATATGGTGTATTATATGCAAATGAATTAATTACTCTAAGTTTATTATGAAATACACCATGCTATGGTTTTTTGATTGGCAAATTTTGTTCTTATCCAATAAACTCATTACTCAAGAGATATTTTTAAAAATATCTCTGATCCATCTGGCAGCATGTCATTAGTTCCAGTCTTGCTGCCATAGTTTTTTTAATAACCATTTAGTTTTCCAAAATCCTCAAGCCAAGACAATTATGACATAATTGTAGACTCTAAATGGGGTTATAATAAAGCTGTCTTCAGGAGCAATTAATTCTGTGTCATTTAAAAAAACCCCAAAACTCTAAAATAATGTCTGATAGCTACCGTTACTATTGTTACAGGTAAAATTTATTCCATCTATTTGTACCTGTCAAAATGGTAAGTATGATGTTAAAGCTAGACAATGGCCAGAGCTCTGGAGGACTATTCAGCCTCAGAAAAATAAGTGTCTGTCTGTCTCTCTTCACTGTCTAAAAAGGCAGTCTTCATAAGTGTATTAGCGTAGCTTTGAGGCAGATTCAGATAGAAGAATCTTACTAAAAGATTTCTGGCTGAAAGTTAGAAAAAAATCAGCTGCCTTAATATAGTAAAGAATTAAGTGGCAGCCATTGAGATTCTGTATCCTGTGATACAAACAGCTTCATTTTAAACAATCACCTGCATTTTCATAGCACAATTCTGTCTAAACCATAAGTCATTTATTCTTGAAACCAGACATTGAATCAGTTAAAAGTTTTTGGTGATGATGCAGGACAAATACATTGTTTGCTATCTAATGCCACATTATAATATTCTCATATTGTACATTACTACCCTTGCTGCATGTTTAATAATTTTTATTGCTTTTTTTCTTCCTAGCTGTCATGAAAAACAAAAATGTTTCTTGAAACTGCTTTCCTAGTTGAAGAGGTCATCAACAGTTAAAACGAGCTGAAAAGACACCAGAAGCCATAAATCAGCAACATCTCATTGTTAATACACTTGGACTTTGTGAGGAACAAATATTTTAGTACAGGAAACTCTGCCACTCTGAACTGCAAAACCCCCCTTTCTTCTTCACCCCAAAAGAACATTTGCAAGTGCTCACACAGAAATGATTGAATAGCTGAAGCTGTACAAATACCTGCTTGTCCTGGTAAGCCAGGCCAGCCAGGAGCTCCCTTTTGACCTGTAAGTCCAGGAGTGCCAGGGCTTCCTTGCTGCCCTGGGGGGCCAACCAGTCCTGGCAAACCTGTGTGACAACAATGAATCATTGCTCATGAGCATCCTTAAAACCAACAGCCAAAACACAGACTTGTGCTACTTTCATTCTCCCAGGCAGAAAGATGAAGACTTTCCCTCCCTGATGCCATTGTATGACACTGCACTGCTCATCCAAGTGGGAGAAAACTAAAGAGAGCACAGGTAGGAGAGACAAAGTATAAAAGAACAGCTCATTCCAAACTTCAGGTTTCTGACAGCCTCAGAAAGACAGCAGGCTCCTCCTAATAAAATAACTTGACTTCTATTGCCACTTACAACAAATGATTTCATTTCTGTGCATGTCACTTTCCCCCTTCTGCTGCACTTGTTTTGCCTTTCCCTCTGAGAAGCTGACCAGACAAGAAACGTTTCCCAGTGAGGCACCTGTTGAAGCTCTTCCAGTCTTGGCTGGAGTTTTTAAGCCCTCTAATGAGAAGAAGTGTGGAACAACTGTTCTAAAAGAGCATTTTCCATGATCCTCCTGCAACAGGACATGTTCTTAAGCCCTGAGTGTGTGATCCAGCCACAGCTGAACCTGACTTGGCTTCTCTTGTACAGTTGGCCCATGAGCCTGGCTCAAAGGCTCTGTAACTGTGTCCTGGGAGATACTGACTTCATTTATGGCAGGAAAGGTCACTGAAAAGCCTACTCCTTGTAGTATTGAGACATTAGAATACCTGAGTATGCCAGCAATATAACACTTTGACAGGACACATGGTTGCTATAGAAGAGGAAAAAATTATATCAAGTAGAGTTAGGTTTTTGCAATTTCCTTTTAACTTCTGCTGCAAGTTCCACATCCTTGTCACTGCTCCTCACCAATTTCCAGAATGATGAACATATTAAAAACTTAATTACTTTCTTTTGATGGAAAGAGTATTTTTCTTTTTCCTCTTAAACAATGTTATTCTTTGGAGTGTTAAAAAGAATATTTTACCTTCCTGTCCCACAGAGCCAGGGACACCCTGCGTGCCCTTGAGGCCTTCAATTCCAGGGAAACCAGGATCACCACCTTCTCCTTTTGGTCCCACACCTCCTCTTATGCCTGGAAAACCACAAAACCAGTATATTCCTTTAATTCTTTTCATATTCTTTTAAGCAAACAAGCATAACATGAACGTGGTTACTGAATGGGTCTTGGTCTTGCCACATAAAGACATTCTTCTAGTCAGGGTGCTTACATAATCTGGGAGCATGCACAGTCCTCTGGCCAAATGATCATTAAACTTGTTTTTAAAAGTGCTCCCAAATTATGTGAATAGGACACTGATGTTCAAGTGCGCTGCATGTACAGGGAAATTTAATATACTACCTAACAACTCAATCCAAAATCTACAAGACTTTGCTATCCCACCTTCTATAATCATGGCCTGATAATGCTCTTTTTGTCATAAACAGCAAAACAAATTATATAGAAATGTTTACTGGAGTTGCCAGTGATGATGTTTACTGCTATAATGGTATTTTCAGTTGAAGAGGTAAATGCAGCACATATTAATTTCAATAGAGAGAAGATGAACCTCTCCAGGAGCTGTCATGAGAACACAGGTTCAAGAGCCACCAAAAGCCCATAGAAAACTCCCCTTCCCTTTCTCTGGGAACTTTGGTATGTGAAAAGAAACACATTCAGAGAGCAACTGTGAAATTAATACCTGTTAAGCCTGGCACACCAACTTCCCCTTTCAGGCCTGGCATTCCTGGTAAGTTTATAGTATCTCCCCGATCACCTATTTCAAACAAAAATGAACACATGAGTGGTAAGGCTTTAATTTAAACTGTACTTCCTGTTGTTTTGAAGGAAATGCAACTTCAGAGGCAAAAGTCTGCAACTGTTATCTTTGTAGAATAGAAGAGAAGTAAATTAAAGACAGCAAAGAAAGTGTCTGGAACAGCCTCCCTCCTTGCCACAGATTTATCCATGGACAGCACAGTGTTGCATGAAATGAACAGTATTAACCTTTTTAGAGTCTTCCACACCTACAATATCATTCTCTAAGACTGTAGAAAGACTCTGGGATTGAAGACACACTGACACCCCTCAGAAACTTAATGTCAAGAATTTCATGGGTGATGAATACAGAGTGCTCAGATAAGAGAACAAACTCACCTATTTCTCCATGTGAGCCAGGAGTACCAAAATGGCCTGAAATTCCTGGAATGCCCTTTTCTCCCTATCATATGATTGAAAACAAGCATCAGTTAGTGAAGATGAGGATTTATTCAACCTTCCAAGCAGCTGACTTTGGAAATACTAAAAAAAGGCTATTAAAAGTACCACTTTTGAATTTCTGTAGTGCTTTATAGAAGAATGTGGCAGCAGTCTGTTAATCTAGATCAGTACCAACCAAGGGACAAGTTATGTTTGCAAAGGCTTAAGTTTAAACTTGTGCTGGTTTTGGCTGGGGCAGAGTTTTTTTTTTTTTTCACAGTAGCCAGTACAGGATTGTGTTTTGGATTTGTGCTGGAAACATTTGTGCTTGATAACACAGGGATGTTTTCATTCCTACTGAACTGAACTTACACCGTGTCAGGACATTTTTTGCTTGTCACTCCACCCTGCCAGTGAGCAGGCTGGGGGTGAGCAAGGATTTGGGAGGGGACACAGCTGGGACAGCTGATCCCAACTGACCCAATGGGTATCCCACACTCTGTGGCCTCATGCTCAGCATGTAAGGCAGGGGCATGGTGGACTGGAGGGTAACAATGCTTGGGGATTGTCTGGGCATCAGCCAGTTGGTAGGGGGCAATAGTTTTCATTTTTATCACTTGTCTTTCTTGGGTTTTATTTATCTATCATTCTTATATTATTATTATTAATACTAGTACTATTATTATTTATTGTTATTGTAGTTTATTTCATTTTTACTGTTCTTATCCACAAGTTCTCTCACTTTTACCCTTCCAATTCTCTTCTCCCCATCCTGCTGGGGATGTGTGGGGGAGCAAGTGACCAGGTGGGGCTTAGATTCTGGCTGAGGTTAAACCCTAACAGTCCTGCAGTCCTTGGTTAAAAAAAAAAATCTTACTGAAACCTGAAGGCAAAGAGAACCTGAGAAAGGAACATAGTTTTTGTGTCTCTTAAATAAATGATGTCTATGAGTCCATTGTCAGGCCTTTTCTAAGTGTTTATTTCTTCCAGTGTAACTTATTTTGCAGCCAAAGTGAATTACAATGAATTACCCTCTAGAAGCTAAGATTCTTAGGCTCTTTTAGTGTTAAGTAAGTGACAGTGAGTAACTTTTGGCAGTGATACCATTAAGTTCTGGGACAAAGAGAAAAATAAGCCCAACACTGAGAATAATTTTTACCAGCAGCTGTGGCAACAGGATCAAAGATCTAGAAGGAACCATCTGGGTCCTCACTGGCAAAATACCAGCATATGAAATCTGGATGTCTCACAATGAGAAAAGAAATTACTCTGCCTTATGAATGTTGGAGGGAGCAAGCAAAAGTATTTGATCTATTCATCCAATGCTTATGGCATTTTTATCTTTGCACTGCTGTTGTTCGGCAAAATTTCAAGGGGTGAATGCCACTTCCTGAGAAGCTGAATGCCAGCACAAGGACACCCCTATTCCCTCATGTGCCTGAACTCACTCTGACTCCTGTGGTGCCAGGGAAGCCTCTGATGCCAGGAGAACCAGCAGGACCAGGATACCCTTTCACACCTGTCAGCCCTTTGGCACCGATGTCTCCTTTCACACCAGCCACGTAGCTGGGATGCCCAGGGGACCCTGGGGTTCCTGTCTTTCCAGGAAGGCCTGGCATTCCTTTGCTACCTGCAGGCAGGGAAGAAGAAAATTAAATAAGGGAAGACTGACATGCAGGCTTGTGTGTAAGAAGGTTTCCTGCTACTAGTTTTCCTACTGTCTTCTTCTTGAAACATTGCACCACAATGTGCTGTGCAAGTCAACACACAGACATACACCCACCCACACCCACATCATCCCTCAAAGCTTTCCTTGGGGGTGACTCTGTGAAATGCATCCAGGAGTTCAGTTTCTGCTGTCAGAGACCTTGCTGGGGAGGCTGCAGCCAAATGGTACAATAAGCAGAGAATATTTAATTTGGTAGCTGAGAAAAAGCACTAAATGGGAGTTCTGAATGTGCTTGCCTTGTTTTACTATGACCACTGACCTTTTAAGCCAAAGAATCCCTTTGTGCCCCTTTCTCCAACATCTCCTTTTTCACCTTTAACTTCCATCATCATGCTGGGCATGAGCTTTGGAGGGTCTCCTGGGGGGCCTTGATCCCCACGGTCACCTAAGGGGTAAAAAGCCCAACCACGTTACAAAATGCTAGTCAGCAGCATGGTCAGAAAAAGTGAACAGAGGAGTAAATTAGGAAAAAGGAATGACCTTGCACAAGCTACAGAAAATCTATTTGCATGAAAAGTAACGTGTCAATACAACGTGGCAGTGCAAGAATTACAGTTAAGAAAACATGAAAACTGAGTTAAACTTTTGTACATAAAATCCTGGGAGTTGGACCCAGACTCCTCTGTGATAGATAATTTATCTCTCAGCAGATCAGTTAGGAATCATTTTTTTATTAAAAAAGCTCCAAAATCATGGTTTATTAAAAAACCCAAGAAGCACAAATGAGAAAGCACAGAAAAGTAGTTTAGTTCTAATGCAAAGGAAATTCTCAATCAAAAAGCCTTGGGCAAAAGAAAGTGTTTGGATTTGTTATCAGCTATAGTGTTCATTTTCTTGACTTTATTGGGTGATATCAGTAAATAATGTCCAGAAGAAGGGATCCACACAGACTCCATGACTGTCTTAGTTCTTTGTGGGGTGCAGAGAGAGGCCAGTAACCCAGACTTGTCTCCTAAGATTATGCACTGTCTCACATTTCTTCAACAAGAAGTGTATTTGCACTTCACAGGGGCTGTTTTCACATATGTTTTTTGCTGAGACTGTTGCTGGGATCACTGCTCTGCAACTTCTGAATTGCAGACACTTTTGTAAAAAATACCGATCTCAGGGTCCCTAGAAAGACTAAAAATGTTTAGTCTTGTGGCAAAACATTTATTTAAAGGCAATTGTGTGTAATCAAAAGAGGACCGAGTTACAGTTTTCATTTCGCCAACAATAATACCAGCTGAATGTTGGTGACTTTTAAGTTTTTAATAATGTTTGTGACTTTTAACTATGTAATTTTAACTACTTAATTGCCTGTTTTTCTGAATATTTAACTGTCTTTACAGTGCAACTGGAGAAAAATCTAAATATTCTCCCTGAAACATCTTATGCTTCCTGGGAAAATGCTCTCTTGACTTCTGCACGTGTCCAGGGGTGCCACTATCTGAGTTCAGATGAATAATAAGATATTTGTCTCCAGCCTTAAGTGTGTAAAGAAGTAACCTTTCCCTGAGTCTAAAATCCAGGCCTCTTGGCCAGAGGCCCATGTGTGAAATAGGTGGAGGAATGTCTTGAGCTAAATTTAACATGTGAAAAATGTGTCTTCTTTGTAAAATAGTTCTGCAGATGTGAAGAGCAAACACACTAGTACCACCCATAAGCAAATACCTTTGAAGCCACGTGCACCCTGTGAGCCTTTATCTCCCTGAGCCCCAAGCGGGCCAAATTCTCCTTTGATTCCCTTGATGCCTGGTCTTCCTTTTAGGCCTGTCATGCCTTTGAAACCATCAATGCCAGGTGAGCCTTTCAAGCCTTTAAGAAAGAAGGGGAAGAGAAGTGTTACTTCACTCAGATTTCTGCAAATTAAGTAAATATGAACCAACAACACATGACTAAAATGGTATGAAAACTTCAGTGCAGCAGTACCTATTTTTTGGGTGCCTTGATGCCTACAGCAATCTGTGGGTCTGGAGCAGGCACCCAAGCTCTCTAAGAGGTAGTAGAGCTCCTGAGGTAGTGTGCTCTCAGGAGTACACAAACCTGCCTCAAGTGGCCAAGAAGAGGAGCTGTGGAGATGACCAGAACTTATTGCATTCTTCTGAGAGATCAGTAGAACCCCTCTCCTAGAGATGGGCTTGAGACACCTACCTAGTTCCACATAAGGCTTGTAGTCAGCCTGGTCTACATGTAGAGATACAAATCACGGGTCTAGGACTGGCTGGTCCTTTCTCACCAAAAAATTTCCTATTTCTCTTTTCTAAACAAAAGAATGCTGTTTTTCATGGGTAATGCTAACAAACAGATCTTAATTTGTCTCAAATGAGAGCTGATCTCAGAGCTAGTCTTGTCCTGTCTTTGCAACTGATGGAATTGCAACATGCATTTTTAAGCATGCTTTGTGCTCAGCTTGGCTTCACATGTAGTTTAACCCTGTTGAAACTCCCTGTGTGGTGTAGGCAATGTGCATTACACATATGTGTTTTCTTGTGGCTGGTAGGTGAGAATCTCACATTCTCAATCTCACATTCTCATCAGTGTCCTGAAGTCACCATTGAGGTCTTGTGTCTAGCATTGCTCAGTTCACAGCTCCCAGCTTTAAAAAACTTTAAAGCCAATGTTTGGGGAAGCATCTCTTAAATTTCACTGAGGACCAATGGGACTAGGACGAAGGTAAGACTTTTAGAGAGAAAACAGTAAATACTGTGTATTTTTTAAAATGAGAAATAAAACAGCCATTGCTCTTCTAAATAGGGCTGCATATCACAAGCTAGCACTGTACCAAGCTCAACATAGGGGAAAATAGACAATGATTTTGGAATATATTAGGCACATCACCCTAAATCTACTCTTTTAAATAGAGGGAGACCAGCAGAGAATATGTTTGGTTCATGTCTGCACAGAAAAGCTTTAATCAACCACTGCTTTAAAAGAAGCAGTCCAGAGCTTACCTTTATCTCCTGGAAAGCCATCCATTCCACTTATGCCAGGGGGACCAGTCACACCACGTATACCTGGCAGTCCTGTGTGACCCATGTCACCTTTGTCACCAGACAGACCCTTCAGTCCCACGGGGCCAGGAAAACCTTGCTCACCATCTTCTCCCCTAGCACCAGGTGGACCTGTTGTGTAAACATGAGAACAGGGAGGGTAAAAAAGGTTTGGACATAGATGATGATTTCATACAAGGTAGCTCAAGAGGGAGAAAACTGCCATTCTATCAACTTCATATTGAAGCAGGGAAATCAGGATTTTTTTAATCAAAGAATTGCAGAAATGATTGTAAAGATAAAGTAGCTCATCAACATGAACCAGCCTCACTATCAGTTTGGTTCCATACCCACTTGCAACAGGACCTTCCCTTCCTCTTTAATTCAAGAATCAAGCCCCTTTTCCATAAGCCTACACTCATTTGGTGGCTTTCTTTTTCCAGTCTGCCTGACTTGGTAGGTGGCTACAGAAAGAAAAGCAGCAGCTCTGCCTGAGAAGATCATCCCCAAACTTAAACTCTCTGCTGTGGAAACCTTACAGTTGCCCTGCTACAGAGGACTAGCAAGAGGAATGACACAGGACTGCGCTACTTCCTCACCGAGAGGTCCTTGAGAGCCAGGGCCACCATCTGGCCCACGGTTTCCTGGTGGACCTGGGAATCCATGTGCTCCTGGTGTTCCTGGTAATCCCATCAAACCAGGGAGACCTTGTGGCCCGGGATCTCCTTTGGGTCCTGGCAAACCTGGGCTACCATCCGCTCCTAAAAGACCAAAATTATGCATTAGAGAGCATCATATGCAGAGAACATGTTTTTATATATTTCTTCTGTGTACATCCTCAGCTTCCAGGGTGTGTTTTGCCTTTGAAAATTCAATGACAACAGGAAAAGAAAATTAAAGGATTGGTCTTTAGATTTAAAATAATTGATGTTACCACCAATGATCTCAATATTTGCATCAGATAGATTGATTGATTATTTCAAATGAACGTTTTGAGACCATGTGGATATACATGCAGGTCTCTTTCAGTTTTAATCCCAATCTTTCTATTTTAATCCCAATAGTTCTGTTATTCCTGATCTCTCTGTCACATATATATTAGTAACAACTGAATCAAGCAGCTGACTGAACCACTGAAATAATGCTATGTATTTTTTCTAAAATTTTATAAGCAGGAAAAGTAACATTTAAGGCAGATGATGGGATCTGTATTATTGTTTAGAAATTTTCATGTAAGGTTGTTACAAGGCATTTCTGTAAGACTGATACAAATTCCTAAGCAAAAAGGCCCTAATTTTGACTACATGCACTGGGTGAAAAATTATGACTCTACCATAAACCAGTAAAGAGGGTGTTAAGTTTTAAAAAGATAATGCCTGCTTTTCATTCAGATTGGAGAAGCAGCAGCATACAAATAGTACATGGCATTTAAAATCCAGGCCAAGTGGATCTCCTTCTCTTTCTTCAGGTTTTACATGAGCGTAGGTCCATTGGCTTGACTGTAGTTAAAAGAGCATTATAACTGTGATCATTTAAAGTGGGTTTTCTCAACAACAGCATACAGGCTTTAGTTGCTATTCTGAGTGAAGTGGCAAAGGTGGTATAAAGGAATCCCTAGTCATTTCATGTTAAATTCAAAAAAATCATACTTGTAGAAAAATTCACATGCTATCTGAAGCCATTCTGTCAGAACTGTAAAATAAATCAAGAATAGACAAACTTGTACTGCTTTTTATTTTCATTGTATTTTTTCCTACTGAAAACTTAGTTCTACAAAAATGCTTACAAAGAGGGTGCAAAGTCACACAACATTATTTTTTTTTAAACTAAATTGGACTTCTTCCCCTCATCAGTGATGTTAGTGATTTTTTCTGCCTTTTCTCAAACTTTTTAAAGTCCACAGAGCTGCTTTCATCCCTTTACTCTGGGGCTGTACTGCAGCTGAAACCAGCTCTCCTCACTTCAAATACCTCTGAGAAGATGATGCTCTTCTTTTATTTTCATCAAAAATCATGAGAAGGATATTCAAAACTAGTTCCTGTGATAAACCTTGCTTCGAGCTAGTCATACAATTACTACTCCTTTCTCAGTTCCATACAGGGGAATGGGGGTAATCAGCAGTCCTAAATTTAATTATGGGTCCAAATGCAATAGAAACTGTGTAGCAGGGTATGCTAAATTCCCACATGTGCTTTTCAAAGTCCTTCATAGAGTTGAGAGAGTGAAAAAATCGGATTTTGTGGAGAAACTCTGTTTTCTGCAGGGATTTTAGGATATTTTTTATGGTCTGTGACATAACAAAGGAGAATGAACACCCTGAAGTTATAAATAAGTATATAATATTATCTTTTTCTTATTTTTGAGTGCCCAAAAACTGTCAAGGCAAAATAGCTTATTAGCAGTTACCTAACTCTATGTTGCCTTAGCTGAAATTTACAAATCCAGCACTATTGCAATATGCTGATCAGCAAAGCCATGCAATACCCAAACATTTCTGGTGAAAAATCTCATTATTATTGCTGTGTGTAAATGAAAATTGAGAATAATAGCAACACCACCATTCCCTTAACTAAAGGGAAAAAAATTAGCAGTACATCTGAAAGCAACAAAGATGAGCAAAGTCTGGTTCCCTGCTATCCTCCTGTAGCTGATTTCATGTGGAGCAGTGTGAAGGACAGCTGAACATAAGCAATGGATCTCCAGAAAGTGTTCAGAGGAGCCAGGCATGTTGGCAACAGCTGCCACAGAAGTGGAAAGACTGGGAGATCATGGGGCACTGGGCATGGATAGTGAGGTCATCAGTACCTCTGACGCATCCTAACATGGTCTCTTCCTGCTCTCACATCCCTACAATTTGGCTGCATTTGTATCAACTCTTAGGCAAACCTTTCTTTATTAGAAGAAGCTGTTACCTCTAGTTCCTGGTACTCCTTGATCTCCTGGTGCACCTTTCAGCCCTGGCAAGCCAGGGAGGCCGACATCCCCTCGGGCCCCTGCTGCTGCTCCAAAAACGTCACCAGGAAGGCCCTTCGGTCCTGGTGCTCCTGGAGCTCCAGATTTTCCTGTAAGGCCTGGGTGTCCCTGCAGTCCAGGTAGCCCATTTGGGCCTCTGTCTCCCCTGGGTCCAGTGAAACCTATAAATAAAACAGGAACTAGGCATCACAGAGTTCACTACAAATGTTGGAGTTCAAATCCTAGATATGCCAACATGATGTTCCCATCACCACAAATGACAAGGTAAAGGCTTCTTGTGCACTGGAAAACTGGAGCTAGACTGAAAGTTAAGCCCAAGCATTGGTGAAAAATAGCATGGAAAACTGCAGGGGATTGCTCCCTGCGGCCTGGGAGCCATTTGGGAGCCCTAATTTAGCAATCAGAGCACTCTGTGGAGCTTACCAGGGGAGATAGAGGTTCATGGTCCTGCCCTATGCTGCACAGAGCCATGTTGTATGATGCATCCCTTGATGCATCAGGATGCAGCAGGACATGCACCAGCTCTTCTTTTGCTTTCTCTGTTGCTACTACAGATGCTGTAGATGAGTCCAGAGAACACTGTCAGGCCATGTGCTGCCTGAGGGCAAAGCACCACCTGGCACTGGATTTGGGAAACTTTGCAGCCCTTCAGAATCTGCGAGGATTTAGGACTTTGAAATCAGATCTCTCAAAAAAATTTCCAGAGAGCTCATAAATTAAGTTGCATCAATGGCTTCTGTAATGGGATACAGAAAAAGCCCCAAACAACTCATTACCCTGACCAAATTTCTCTGACCAAATAAACTTGGTCAACCACAGGGAAGTGGTAGTTTCTGGAGGTAATTCCTGTAATTCCTGATGGCTTGACTGATGATTTGTGAACATACACACCCACCGCAGCTTATATGTGCATGCCACTGAATTAATTATGTGTGCAGTGGCACACACACTCCATCCATTCCATCATTTATACTAATGTTGGAAAGAATTAAATGGAAGTACTAATACTATTATTTTCTTCCTTTCTTCATCATCATTATGAGTAAAATGCACTTGGAATGTAAAATATCGTTATTGAATTTCTTTATGAGAATGTAATGAATTTTTACTGTCACATTTATAATTTTGAACAATAAAGAAGATTGTAAAAGGTTGGCATCTACGAATTTTTTCATCATTATGAAAGTTGCAAGAAATACTTCTGGATTTGAAAAGTAATATTTTTGTCTACTGGCTTACTGAGTCAATGTAGAAGGGAAGATAAGTGAAAATGTACCTAGAATCAAGTATTTGTGTTAAAGTGACTTCAGTAAAAGGTCAAAAGTACATAAAGAATGACTAATTATTTCAAGATACCTGGAGGACCTGGGAATCCTTCCCGACCTGGATCACCTCGTGTACCATTTAGCCCTGGAAAACCCATTGGACCTGGATCACCTGGGAATCCTCTTGTACCTTTTGCACCTAAATTATATAAAAGAAAGTACGAAAGTGTTATCTGAACAAACAAAACAGAAATGTGCATATAATGTAAAAAAAGTTAGTAGTAAGTATCATCATGATGTGTTTCTAAATGCAAAACTGAAATCTTTAAAAAATAATTAATGGGGCTATACAGTGGCTCTTTAGAAGTATTCAAGATCCCAAAACAAAAATCTAGGTTAAGTGCTTTTACAAACATGGATTAACCTGACTTAAAGACTAATGATATGGAGACTACTAGGGTAAAGATAATTGGTTTCACAGACTTTTGGAGCTTTTCAATATTTTGTAAATTAAGGCTTTTAGATTAAGGTCAAAAGGCAATGTCAAAAAAGAGTGTTCACAGAAATGGGCACAGATGAGATGCTGTAGGAGGAAAAAAATTTTCCTTTTCCTGCTAAACTGATCACAGAACAAGAGCAGACTGGCTTAGATAACCAAGAAATGTAAGGTTAAAGGTTAGATCTAATAATCCCTCAAAATGAATACAAATTAACTAGCCTACTTACTATATTTGTAACATTACAGGTCTAGAGATTTCCTAGTAAAAGAAAGGATGTGCCCTGAAAAAAAAAAGGTGTGCCAGTTCTTCAGGCACTGACCTCTTGTTCATACTGATTGTTCTCCTGACAGCTAAAATGATACCTCCTTTCCTTGTGATACAGTGTTTGACATTTCAGTAAGGGCAAATATTACTGTTTTTTAACATCTCAAAACCTGCAAGCATTTTGTAGCATTCCTTTGTTATGTTTATAAAATTACATATTTTTTTCCATGCAATAGTTTTATTACATGAGTCTTGTTAATCCACTGTATTACAAGATCAAGATTTTTGGTAAAGTTCTTTGAAAATAATTCCTGGGAAATGCTTTGTTCCACTATGCTCCCCAGCACTTTGAACTTTATAAGTTCCCAGCTCCGGCTTGAAGGTCAACAACATGCTTTAACATTTAAAAAGTTGTTGCTTAGCATCACCATGAATTACAACTCATTTATTCATTACTGAAAGCAAGTTCCTCTCCATCCATAACTATGACAAACCAAGGAAAATATCACTTGGATTTTGATACTTTCTTCCACTTCAGTTTTCTGAAATTTATGTTATTTAACCATGATTATTTGTTGTTTTGACTATCATTTGTGAAGTGGAGCAGGAAACATTTTAAATAATGAGAAATAAGGTGCACATAACCAGCCAATACAGTGTGCATAATATTTCACTGTGCTGTACAGGACTCTTCAGTTCTGTACAGGACAATTTTTTCTCTCCCTTTTACAAAAAGTAACTTCTCATAAAGAAATCAAAAGGAAAATCTTAGGCTTTCAGGTCTCAATGAAAAACTCCCATGTGCCTCTTACCCAAATGGCATCTTGGTCTTGTTTCCCATCTGCAATAACTGGCTTTCATTAATTCTGTTCAGTATTGCACTAATTAAAAAGCCATGTGAGAGAAAGAAGGTGCAGAGGAAGAATATGTCCACTGCTTACCACATATTTCAGTAAGTCAATACATGATGTTAGCTGGTGATAACATGTGCCAAACAGCAGCATGAAAAAAGTTTTTATTTTGGAAATGTAATGTTTGGTTTGCAAGTATTTTAGTTGTTTGAGACAGAAAACAGCCTAAAAATTTTATTCAACAGCAATTGTGTAGACTTTGAGACTCCTGAATAACCAAGATGTTTGTGTGTGTTGCCAGGAATCTCAAAGGAACACAAGGACATGAGGATGGCAGGCTATAAAGACAGCTCCTTGCTTGATACACTGTGTGCCATGAGCACCTAGGACACTGAGAGACCTGACTGTCTACAGAGGAGCTCCATGCTGGCTGGGCAGAATGGGAAATCTTGTGGGCAAACCCCATCACTCCAAGCAGACAATGAAAACGGTGTAAAGGAGGTTCTGGTGCTCTTGTGTTGGTTTGGCCAATGTGGGTAAATGATGCTCCAGACAACTCAACTGACACAGCTATGGCAAAAAGAAGCCGTGCAAATGTGTCCTTTTCCTCCCAGGCTTCTGACTGAAGAACTGCCTCTGGAACTGATTGAAAGGCAGCTACAGAGTTCTGCACTGGGCTCTGCAAGGGGCTCTGCAAGGGGCCCTTCCCAGATTTTGGAGAGAGAGGATGAAAAACAAGTCTTAAAAAAAACAAGTCTTAAAATTACTAAAGCATGTAAGCTAACAAAGGCAGAGAAAGATCTGTTAAAGAGCTAGCCAAGAATAGAAAATGTAAAACACATGAAACAGCATCACTTGTGTTACAGCAGTCTTACAGTTGGGAGTTAAATCTGACTGTACTCACTGAAAGAAAAACCTTCAAGCTCATATGTATGAAAATAAACAAATCATATTCAGAAAAAAACTACAAATATTGCGAAGAAAACAAGAAGTCATGATCCTACCAATAAACTTTGGCACCAGGACTAAGGAAACAGAGATAAAATTTTTCCTTTCAAGATGCATTAATCTATGATAAATCAATTAATGAATCTATGTATGTCATAGTAAACCTTGTGATGAAAAAAAAAAAAAGAGCTTGACCTTAAAATTTATACTCCAGATCTCTAAACTTGGTTAAAGCACAGAAACAGATGCATCAAGAATTTTACCTTTTTACCAAAATCTGAAGGACCCAGCTATGTTTTTTGTCAGTGTCTTTACAGCTCGTGATAAGGATTTATTGAAAAACAGTTTTATTGCTTAGGCTGGGAGTACATAAGTTCATAGGAACTATCAGTGCTGGTCAGACATTTTCCCTTCAAGGTCAGTCATTATGACCACCCAGCACACCCTGCCCATGTGTCTCAATTCCATCTCACACAGTCCCTTAGGCTCTGTCCTCTCCTCTTGGAAGGAGGTTTGTCACTATTGAGTCAAGAACAGGGGTGATGTGTCATATAGACTCTAGGTCTCTTCAGAAGGCAAATCTGAGTTTATTACAAACCCATTCTTTTATACACCATCCTGATACAGGTGGACCTGATTGGCCACTTGATCAACACCCCATCACACCATTGCCTAATTAAGAAGACATCCTTTGGTAAACATCTTATGAAAAAACAACTGTTCAAAACACCAGCTGCAGGATTGTTTAAGTCTTTCTCTCAGCCTTCTCAAAACTCCCCAGAACAATTCCTGGGAAAGTTTATCTGGCTTCTCTCTCTCTGACAAAACTGTCACATCCACGGGTCCCCTTTTTGTTTAAAGGAGGAGGGGCGTTTATAATCCCCTGCAGGGCCCTTTGCAGGAAGGAGAACAAACACAGCTCAGAGATGGGGAACCCCCAGTGGTGGGGAGGCCCAGGATGACCAGATGGGCCCTCTGGGCTAGGAGGGACCAGCTCTGCAAGGCAGGAGTGCGTGGTTTCAGACAGAACAGCCGTGTTGGGGTCAGCCTGGCCCAGACACTGAGGGGCACCACAGGCTCTGGGCTCACACTTGCTGAAGGAACTCTGTACAGAACTTGAAGAGGAACAGTGGGAAGGATCTGTCATAGTCCTCCATCAAATCCTTTCATCACCCTGCTCTCAGAGGACAGCATTTATTTACATTGTGAGGTGTGCAGTCAGCTCTGAGAGCTCAGTACACTCTCTAGCACTGAACCTGTAGACTCTGTGTACTCTCACTTGCATGTGGAGAATAGCAAACAGGCTGTCCTTTCTGCCTTCTGCTTTGTGGCTGGCACTCATTAGCAAAGGCAAGTAGTTCAGGAATGTGAAGTCACCTGGGCTGCTCACTGCTCAGATCTCTCTGGCAGGGTCAGGTTCATGCTGTGTTCCAAAGTAATTTCTAAAACTTGCTGTCTGCTAAGGCTCAGTTATAACTGATATGGCAAGATACCCTTCAAATGCAGTGTATGTGGGAAACCCAATATGGGTAAAGGCAAAACATTACCTGTGGCTCCTGGCAATCCTGGCTTTCCTTGGGATCCCTTTGGTGGCCTTACACAGCCTGCACCTGCAAACAAAAAAACCAAGTTAGTCACACTATATGTGCTCCTATACTGTCTCTCCATGTCTCTGGGCCTGCAGTTGAGACAGTTTCATTAAAACAGGTGAAGGAAATTAACAAGCAAACTCCTAATTTGAAAAGAAATTTTATTCTTCATTAAAAAAAAAAAAGTTGGCTATGTGTGGCACTTTCAGGGGAGCACTCAAGCTGATCTCCACCCCAAGAGCTGCTCTTCTGCCTGTTTTACAGGGGTTATGGTGGCAGGTCCAGTTGGACCAGCACAGAAAGGGTAGTCCAGTCTACTGCATTTTTCAGAATAAGAGAAATGCTTTGTTTCCCTATGGGTGGTTTATACCTGTGAAGCAATCAAGTTAATTTTGGTAAAAATCTAAGGGTTTTTTCTCATATGTCACATTGCACTGCAAATCTTCATTCAAAGTTCTTGCAAAAAATTGCTAAAATTTTCTTGGGCACCTAATTTCTGGTACTGTTTTTATAGATTGCACAGTAATCATACAATAAACACTCAGGAGTGATGAAATAAAAAATTTCTGAATAGAGCCAAAAGTGCAATAATTTAAAAAATGTTCAATTTGATTAATTTAGTTTAGAGCTACATAGACTATATGCATAGTTATTTGTGACCTAAAGTTCAAACAGTTTACAGCCAAGAGCATCCAAAGCAGTTCTCAGAAGAAAGTATCAATCCATAAAAGCAGTGTAATACTGAAAAGATATTGAAGGCATTTGTATGTACAGTACCTGACCATATTGGTTCGGTTCCATCTCCTCTAGGAAAGTCTTCAATGACCTGCCCACAGTCTGTGAGCAAAGAATTAGAAAACACAGTTATTATCTAAAGGAGAAAAATTGCAAAAAGACAAAAATGTTCTCAATTCTAACCAAAATGCCTATAAAACCAGCAGATAATGTATTCTCTTGTGTATTATGCACACATACCACACAAATCTACTATCCACACTATCCACACGTTGATTAGATCCAGGCCTAAAACCTATCCTGGCCATGTTAGGAGGCTGTCCCATGCACTGTGTAAGGCTGGCATATGCTTGCTTTAGCTTTAATATTCTGCCAGGCTTCTCAAAGTGGAGGAATAAAGCTCTGAGCTTGAGCCCTTCTGAATGTAGCCCAGGCACTGCTACACTTGGAAGGGACTTGAAAAGCTGCAGAAATGCTATGAGGAGCTCTGAAGGGTGGAAACATGATTTTCTCTGGTAAATTAAAAGATTATGTTGGATGGGAAAAATCAGAGAAAACCACCTGTGGGATTTCCAATGGCAGGACATTGCTCCATTGCCTCCAACTGCTTGAAAGCTGAAAAATGTTACTTGCTGGCACTAACACATTAAATCATTTCAAAACCTGACAAGAAACTACTGGGACTTCTGAAGTATCTCCTTTTTTAAGATTTCTGGACAATACCAGCATTTCCTTTTACCCCGCATAACCCCCACCAAGCTGTCCCTTTTCAACAGTGTGCTGGATAAATGCTGCACACAACTCAGTGCTGATCTCCCATGGCTCTGATGTAGGACAGAGTTGTGTCTCTTACCTAGTTGGCCAGGCTCCCCTGGGAGACCAGGCAGACCTGGAGATCCTGGGATTCCAGCTTGTCCTTGGTCACCTGGAGGACCCCGGAAGCCTTTTGGACCAGGAAATCCTTCACCTGGCAGGCCTGCTTCTCCTGGAAAGCCCTTTGGGCCTAATTCACCTGGATAACCAGGATCCCCAGGGAAACCTCTGATAGCATCACCCTGTGGGAAGTGAATGGAGGTGGTCACTCCTGACTTTGCTGAGAAACAACTCAAACAGTTGAACTGCTCTCATGAACAACATCTTATAGGCAGTAACTTCTCAAGTGTTGCATCCCAGCTCCTTTAATCAACATTGAAAGTAAAGTATTTTTGAAATAACCTGACTTTAATGTAGGCCACATGGCAGTAAGGGCATGAGAGAAGTGCTCCTTGAGGGAATATTCCCCTAAAAATGCTGGCCCATGAAAAGCACTTGGGCAATATAAATCAGTGTTGTGGAGGGGCTCCTGGTCCTTCCTGAAAAGCTCTAAGTTGATTTGGGGAGACGAAAAGCATTGTTAGAGATGTTCCATTGTGGCATTTACTTCTGAGGAAAGCTCACATAAAAATGCACCCAAAAGATTTTTTGTCTGTCTGCACTCCCAGTGATATTTCTACACTACTGAATCAACATTTCACAAACACCATTAGAGAATGCTTTTCTATCTTCAGAAGCAATATAAAGTACCATCTTCACTGGCAGGAAAAGTACAGTGGTCTAAAGTGCCTAGTATAGCTCTTGCCTATCTTCAAATATGACATATGAGCATCCCAGTGGTTCAAAACATCATTTATGATGGGCCACAGGAATTCTTCCACAAGGTATTTAATTTTGCCTATAGAAGGAAGTTAGAAAATGAACAAAAACTACATGTCTAATTTCTAGATAGCTACAGTTAGTTAGGTGAATTGCTATCAAGCAATATGATTATATAATGTACATTTTAAGAACATAAAATTGTAGTAAATTTTGCTTTTCTTCAACACAGTTGTACCCGAAGTTATTGAAATTCAGTCACAAAGAATCTCAGACTACACTGAAGGAGTTACTAATGAACCATACACTACCACTTGTTGTTTAAGTAAAATGGAAATAAAAGTGAAAGATTTTTCTAAAACCCCTGAAAATAAACGTGATGATTAATTTATCAATAACCAGCAAACCCAGTCTAGTTTTGCATCATTATCTGTGAAAGAAGGACAGGCTGGTGATCACAACTCCTCAGAATTAAGTGCATTAGTAGTTGGGTCTGGTGTAATTGCTGTGTTTGCTGCTTACCGGAAGGCCAGGCTGTCCTGGTAAACCATCCAATCCATCTCTGCCTGGGAAACCATCCTCACCTCTGATTCCAGGCAGCCCAGGGTCTCCTCGGATCCCTTTGGTGCCTAAAGAAGACCTCCCATTGTGAGACCAATCTTTCATTAATACTATAAATAATAGGAAAAATACAGGTGATAAGAATTTTCACTCTACCTTTTGTAGTTATGTGTAAAGAGTCTCCCTTTTCTCCTTTCCGTCCAGGAAATCCAGCTGGACCCGAATATCCCTGGTGTTACATACATTAAAAAAACCCAAAACAAATGAGAACTGCTTAAGAAATAAGTATCAAGATTTGCATTTCTACTGTACTGCTTAAACAAAAAAAAAAAAACCTCCTTAAATTTTACTTCTTTCCTGTTACTTTCCATGAACGATTTCCTCTTCAGTAATCCCATTCTTGTGCAGAACCTTTATTAATATGTTCTAACTAGGACCAAGGTCTCTATGGCATGGTAGAGGAGATTCTGCATGAGGATGGATTGGGACACCTGTGGCTTTCCATGAGCCTGGAGTCCTGCAGGTGACTGCAGGACTGCTCTGGAGTTCTGCAGGACTGCTGCTGCAGACCTGCACTGGAGAAAACATGGTGAATTACTCAGTGTTAGCCACTAAAGAAAATGCCCCAAACAACTCTTTGTCACCTTGGGAAAAACCTTAGGGTTCTACTGACGTGCAATTCCTCCTGTGCACCACTCCCAAGGAGAACAACCTCATAGCAGGCAGTGGATTGTGATTCAAGCACTGTTCTGGGGCTGAAAAGTAGCATCACCTTCATTTACCAGACAAGAACTTGGGCATAGAGGGATTAAGGGATCAAAACACTTAATCAAATTACAGACCTGTGGAAAGGCTTTGGTTAGAAGGGAGGGCTGGAGGTCTCTGGCCCAGCCCAGCACCTGGAGACAGAGCAGGTTGCCCAGGGCCTTGGCTAGCCATGCACTGAAAATCTCCAAGGAGGGAAACCTTCTCTCTTGGAAAGACAAACTATGGGGAAGCTAAAGACCAGTCTCTGGCACTCTTAACTCCTTGGCACAATGCTGGAACCTCCTCCTGAACAGCCCATCTGAAAGTGAAATTTCTAGCTGCTGGCCAAGAGCCTGGCAATCACAGAACCAAATCCATATCCATGGTAGGTGCCAAGGCCCAGAGGTTATAGAGTCATTTACTAGTGATTGTTTTATGCCAGTTAGCTTTAGTTCTGAATAATTACACTCATGCTCATTAAAATATAAGCTGGGCATGTCAGGTTTTCCTCAGCCAAATCTTACAGAATTCCAGGGCAGACACTGAATGAAAGGGATGTACCTGATAAATTTATTTTTTGTTTAAAATACTCCTGTGACAGTTATTATTTAGAAGTGTGTATTTGGCACCACAGTATTTTATTGACATTCTGGGTGAAAAGCATTTATAAAAACTGTTTCTCAGCTGCAGATCACCACAACAATGCAGGTTTGCACTTCTGTTAGTCAAAAGAGTGAGATTGATTTTGATTGTAAGCATTCTGCTTTACCTGGGACATATTTGAAAGCTGCATTTTAATGTGACTGAAGCCAATCTGTACTCCATGAAAAAGTTGTTTCTTTTGGACATTGATTTTTTTCAGGCCAAAAGAAACCTCAAGAACTTAAAATAATGCTGAATTACTGCATTAACACTGTACTAATAGCATGATCTTCACCTTGCTTTTTTTTTTCCTCAAGATTTAGTTGTTATGTATAATACAATTTAGCATAGAGATATTTTCAAAATATTTTACAGCTGCTTCTAATTTCTCTTTATCCACAGGAAAAAAAATCCTTTTGCTTGGGATAAAACTTCATTTTCATTAAACTGACATACATCTCATCAAGATTAATTATATTTATCATCCACACATGTAGCTTGTTGAACAAGCTTAAAAAATTATGGAGTGATTTTTGCCCCAGTATATGGACCAAGAATATATAAGCTACATGGTTTTACTTTTTGAATTTGCTGCGTTATGTCTGTACATGTTTATACTTCCCTCTGTTCTACAGTAACTTAAATTCTGGGATGAAGAATCTCAAAAGCAAAAAAGCTTTGTAGAAATTACAAAGTTTTAACCAAAGTATCAATATTATGTTTTTGGAAATATTTCTGTCAAATTTTTTGTGACTTCTAGAAAGTATAGCTTCTCATAAAAGTATTTTGAATTTTTGCAAAAAATCTACCTTTTCTGGGTTTTTTTTTAATACAGCCAAAATAAAGTAAAAGTTTAATATATTATATTTTAATTCTAAAAAATTCCGAACTTTAGATAGTTGTGAGTGAACTTGGCTTTTTTAATGTCCAGCAGAGCCTAAAGTACTAAGTGAAAACAGTCAGATTTGCTCTGATATCTTTGGACTTTACAATGGTATGTAGTGATAGGAAAAGAGGAATGGTTTTATACTGTCAGCCACTAGGTTTAGATTAGATATTAGGAAGAAATTCTTTACTGTAAGGGTGGTGAGGCCCTGAAGTAGGTACACAGACCCAGAAGAGTTGTGGAATGTTCCAGGCCAAGAACACTCGGGTGGGGTCCTGAGCAACCTGGTCTAGTGGAGGGTGTTCCATCCCATGGCAGGGGTTTGGAACTGGCAGATCTTTAAGGCCCCTTCCAACCAAAAGCATTCTACAATTCTTTGATACATAAAATCAGCTTTTGGGTCAGCATTACAAAGGACTCACTCTAAACCCTTGAGAGATGTGGCTGGCTGAAGCCAGTTCTGCCTGTGAGGAGCCACAATGCAGTCAGCACACCACATAGTACAGCACCTCTATGATTCACCCACAAACAAGCTGTTATGAGCCCTTTCCTCTGTGCTATTGAACAGTGTTATTTAGGAAGATTATATTGTGAACAAGAACCTTTCATTTTATCAGTTTAACATGTGCATCCTATTAGCAGCAACAACCTTAGCTTACTATTGGAGTTGTTTCCCTTCCCTGGTCAGATCACACTCAATACAGCAGCTTGAAAGGGTTCTGCTTTCTTCAGACAGAAGGTGGACTTAGGGTTATGGGGAATTTTGGGAATTTATGGGGAAATCTTTCACTCTCCCCAAAATTTTTTATTTGCACTTCCATTCTAGCAATGTTTGGCCTTCCATATTTTGTGGGAAGGGAGGGAGGGAGGGAGAGAGGAAGGAAGGAAGGAAGGAAGGAAGGAAGGAAGGAAGGAAGGAAGGAAGGAAGGAAGGAAGGAAGGAAGGAAGGAAGGAAGGAAGGAAGGGAGGGAGGAAGAGAAAATAATACTTTTCATCATTTTTCCATGGAGAATAGCTTGAGGGTTTGGATTTTTTTCTTATAAAATTGGCATATAAAACTAAGGCATATAAAACTAAGCAATAAAAAAACCCCAACGATCTCACTTTTGCTCCAGGGAAGCCAGGAAGACCATGTGGTCCTTGATCACCAGGTTCTCCTTTCCTTCCAGGCTGGCCAGGGGTTCCTGGAAAGCCAGGAGGGCCACGGGGGCCAGTAGAGCCCCTTCTGAGTTCCTCACCCAAAAGGCATCTAGTGCAATCCCCTTCTTCACCTAAGGAAAAAATTGGAATGAGAAGAAAGAAAGCTCTATCAACAACAAATAGATATGCAGCTGTATCCATCTTATATATATAGACTTGAGAACATTTGAGTAGTTTCTCAAATACTTGAGAAAATTACTCCTTTTTTTTTTTTTCTGACAAGAATCAAACACAAGGTTTCTCTGTCATGTTAGCCCCAGATCAAATTCATCAGTCCTCATGCATGTCATAGTTCAATAAACCCAGACTGAACACACTGGGGCTTTAGATAATGCATAACAGCATATCATCTATTGAGTTATCTGTTATAACTTACCCTTAGGTCCTTTTTGTCCTCTTGGCCCAGGGAAACCTTGCACACCAAATCTACCAGGTGTTCCCTCTCGTCCTTTTAATCCAAAGAGAGGACCTAGAAGTTTAATTTAATGAAAATATAAATTCATCTACTGTACATTTACTCTTTTTCTCTTTCATTCCTATTTCTTTGAGCTGCAACACAGTTTCCCTGTTTCCCCTAATGTCACTTCCTGTCTAACCCAGCCTGCTGTGATGTACTCCCTTCTCTCTGCCTCTCTCCATCTTCTGACAGCTTCTCACACTCATTCTCAGTAACGTCCATCTGTTGTGGTAGACAATCCTCACCATTCTTTGCTCTCTCTAACACTGAATTCCTCTTCTCAGCCCAACCTACTCTGCATTAGCAAAAATAACCTGCTCTGGATCACCTCCTGCACATCCTTTTCTCCATTCTTTCAAATGTTTCCAGGTCTGTCTAAAAATTACACAAACCTTTTCTTCACTGATGAGTGTACACAACTTCTCTGTGTCCTCCCCACCTCTCATTTAATTTAAATTTAATTTAATTTCACTTAATTTAATTTAATTTAATTTCATTTCATTTCATTTCATTCTGCCAATGTCTCACTTTGCCCTGCCAGCAGCTGTCTTTAAAATAATCAAAGATGTTCCTGAGAGTTCTCATCATCTCTGTTTTTGCACTTACCAGGGGCTCCAACGGGACCAGGTGGACCACGAATTCCGGGTGAGCCATCCTTGCCCGGAAGCCCAGGCGGTCCCGCAAAATAAGCAGGAGATCCAATTTCACCCTTTTCACCTTTTGGTCCCATTTCTCCAGGTAAGCCTGGCTTATCCCCATCCGCTGAAACAGAGCCAGGGAAGAAGTTCAGAGCAATTTCTTAACAGTGCTGCCCAAAGAGCTGTGATGTAACAGAAGAGAAAGTTCATACAATTGCATCTAACATGAAAGGAAAAATGGACACGCTTAGCATGGAGCAAAATGTTAACTGCACTTTTCACTGCAGCAAATCAATAGCAGTTACAGAAACAAGACTCTGTCATCATCTCTATTTCAGTAGTTTTGCAAGAGTCCCACTGGTCCAAAGGAAAATGCTCCTCCCATTCTTTGCCCCCCACAGTTATTATCTACTACTCTGAACTGTGTATCACATGATCACCATAAAGATTTTCCCCACTGTGACCCTGTATCAGTCAAACTCCCTATAAAGTTAAGCTGTTAGAACATGTATTGCTGGGACATTACCATCAGAAAATCCAGGAAGACCAGGCAATCCACGATCTCCCTCGTCTCCTCTGTCTCCTGGGAGTCCAGAAACACCTGGGAAGCCTGGATCACCTCTTGCACCTGAAAGACATCCCCAATTCCACAAAACATGTTAGTGTGATGCTGCTCTTTGTAAAAAAGCAAATAGTAGAATCTTCAAGTGCTTTGGAATAGTAGAGTTTACAACAGTTTCTAATGTAGCTTTAGACTGACAAAAGTGGTGTGGAGCCACCAAGCCCAGGAAGCAGGGGTAAAAGTAAAAAAAAAAGCTTTCACCTTTTACTAATATGCAGCTAAAGCTATACTGCTCCTGGGAAGCACAGAAGGGCAGCTTCCTGAGGAGAGCCCCTCTTTTTCCTACAGGAAGTTTCTATTGTAACAGATGTGTGATATGTGAGCTTTCCTTTGCTTCCCACTACCAAAAGCATCTGGGCCCAGCCCAGCTACTGCCTGCAGAAAGTATCATGCTCTTGTCAAAGATCAGTGATAGTAGAGGACATGTGGTATCTTCAGCCCTCTGCCTGTTTCTCTCTCTACACAGTCCCTCCTGCTTCTAAAAGGCTGGCAGAGTATTTGGGGTGATCTGAACAATGTTTTGGGCCTCTTTCCCCCTTTCTCTGGGAGGGAGGGAGCCATTCACTGCTAGTCTGTCTGGCTTACAAGACTAGTAAACTCTGTGGTATGAGGACAAAGGCCAAGGCCATGGCATGTGATCACTCTTGCTGTTTGCTGGCACCTTCCCTTGAATAGTTTTGGCCTTGGCAAACTGCTATCACCTTTTATGTGTTTCTAGTCTAGCCATGCAGAGCCACCACAGCTCTGCAGAACAGCTGACACTGGGTGCTACAAGCACAGTGAAAAGATAGCAATGGAAATTTGTCAAATTTAAAAAGGATAAAAAATACTCTTATATTCCTCAAGGCTTTCTTAATGTTTGGGTTTCTTTCTTTCTTTTCTTTCTTTTTCTTTCTTTCTTTCTTTCTTTCTTTCTTTCTTTCTTTCTTTCTTTCTTTCTTTCTTTCTTTCTTTCTTTCTTTCTTTCTTTCTTTCTTTCTTTCTTTCTTTCTTTCTTTCTTTCTTTCTTTCTTTCTTTCTTTCTTTCTTTTCTTTTTTTTCTTTCTTTTTCTTTCTTTCTTCTTTCTCTGTCTTTCTATAAGATGATAAGAATGCTCTCTGCTGTGCTGCCACTACTGTGCTTTATCCAAAGTCTGAAACAGGACACAGAAGACAGACTCCCATTCTTCCCTTCACTGGACAACAAAGTCACACACTTTTTTGCTTGCTTCTTCTCTGTGGATACAGGCATGCATGGAAGCCTTTTGTACAGCAATCCAGCTCAGCAGGAGACACAAAGAAACCACCTTCCTGCAGAAAGGTGATTAAGGCACTCTCTTGGAAGGCAATTACAGCTTCTGGAACACTTTAGCAAACACATTTTTTTAGGAGTTGAATTCTTAGAATGTCATGCTTTTGATCTATCCAGAAGGTAGTAAAACAGCTAAGATAAAAAATGAGAGCAAAGAAGATGTACCTTTCCTTGGGATGCGGGAAGGAAAATAGGAATCTGGCCCTGGAGGACCCATCTCACCAGGCTCCCCCTGTCAACAGAAGTTGAAGTATCACACCCAAGCACATTGTTATAGACAATTTATTTTAGAATGAAATGGTATCCCCATAAAACAGAACCCCCAAACTCCCAAAGGCACTGACACAACATTTAAGAAACTTCAAAGATATCAAATTAACAAACCACATAACCGGTTCTACAATGGTAACAGACACAATTGCTACTACATGATGACAGAAAAGGAAAGAAGGCACAATGACAATCTGGCTTCTTGTTTCCAGCAAATGAAAGTAAAGCAGTACCTTGCTTCCTCTGGGACCATGGCCACCGGGTGGACCATCATATCCTGGAATACCCTGGAATACACATAGAAACAATTGACTTTGCCTTTATCAGAGAGAGACTAAAATTATTTGGTCAGTAGCAATTCCTGTAACACCAATAAGGTTCTTTGTGGTTTGCTGTCCCATCTCTTGGATCAAGCCTAACTCTTGCCAAAGGCCAGAGAGACCTGCTGTGCTGCAGGCTCTGTCACCCCTGGCAGCGGTGCAGATGGAAGAAGCACCTACATTCACACCATGCCATGGATGCTGCAGGTGCAGGAGGAGAAAGGGGGATCCCCTTTGACCCTGAGCCACATGGGCTAGGCAGCCAGACCACAGCAGCCTGCTGCAAGAAAACTAAACAAGTCAGAATCATTACAATAGACATATTTTCACTGGAATGGGAACAGTGAGCAGTGAAATAGGACTGAAGTACACAGGTGCTTTTTGCTCTTTTCCAGGTGGCTGGAGACTGTTTGGCTGAAGAAGGGATAAATGAGAACTCAGAAGCAGACAGATTTCAGAGATGCTGAGCATCTCTTCTGTGTGCTTTACTCAGCTCTTTGACATCTTTTGTTCTCTACAGAAAATGTTTATATGCACTCTGGAAAGAGACTGGTGTCAAAAAGGTGTGCTTTTAGTGGAAAACAGTGGCCAGATTTTTTAAAACTGGCTAATAATCTAAGTGTGAATTATACAAAATTCACACTTAGATTATTAGCCAGTTTTAAAAAATCTCAGTATCTCTCAAGTTTTACAGTGGGTAAAACCCTTACCCAGAACTTCAGTGGTAATAACCAGCTCTGTAAGTCACTCTTGAAGTAGTTTTGAAGCACTAAAAGTACCACAGCTCTCAATCAGATGCCGCAAACCCGATCACGTTTCAGAGGCGTTTCCATAATGGCAAGTGTGCATCTCACCATTGGAAAAAGAGCCTCTTGATTATCACGTGTAAAATCTCTTTACACTAGGTGGAGCTGGTGGTCTAAAAGCAAAGCCAGCAGCTTCCTGCTCAACTGCAACTTCATCTGTGTGCTAGCAGGACCTATCATCCTTCTTTCTCTCTCAAGAATAAAATCAGTCAAAAATCAACAAAAAGGAGGTTGTGAATAGCACATAGAGTAGGGCATCCCCTCTCACACACAGATTATACAATGACAGTCCATCCAAACCAATGTCCCTTCTGCTACAACTAATGCCAAGATTCATCCTCAAAAAGGAGCAGCCACTGCTCCCTTCTGACTGGAGCATGAACCCATGTTAAGGTCAACCAGTGGGCTTTAATGGCTTTTGCATCAGCCTCTCCCTGTATGCATTACTAATAGCAATTCCCTTCCACACCACCAGACTGAATAGCTGTGCAAATGTTATTTTTCAGATTTCGTGTACTTTCATGTCCCATGTGTTTCATGTTATTATTGTTATGCCTTGGTGGCAGGACAAATCTTTAAACAACTAAAGATGGCAAGGCATGGAAAAATCGTGCATCCCACGGCTATTTACCTCATGGAAGTGATTTCTAATGCTGACTGAAGAAGCCTTTTTCTGAGACCAAACAGAAAGTCTCTGTCTGACAGAATGCTATTTTAAATATTTGGGTGTGTTTCCATGGGGACAGAGATTAAACTGGTATATTTATCAGTTTCCATCTCTTCTCTCTTTGTGATATCCAAGATAACCGTAGATTTCAAACACATCTGCAGAAAGCTATTCAAAAAAGCTTCTGCTTGTAGCAAGAAAATGACAGAAATCATAATCACAGTAATTAGAACAATGAAAGTGATACTTCCCTGTAATGGTCTCAAAAGATGCTCATGGTTTAAGCAAAGCTGGACTTTAATCATAAGGTAATTTTTTTTGCCTCACTGATGAGAAAAATAACTGACCCAAAATTAGAATGATGGATGAACCCAGATGATATTTGTTAGACTACAGCTAGTGTAATTGCAGGCAGAATTTGTCCTCTACAGTTTACTTTTCAGACAGATGGTCTTCATATGTGTTAGAAACAACAGTCTTGTATGAAATACTCACTCTTTCTCCACTGAGTCCTGGAAAACCAGTGATGCCAGGCAGTCCCTATGAAGGTACAATAAAATTAACAAAATAAAATGACATTCTAACATCCTCATAGCAAAGAACCATTATTATTTCTTAGAGAAAATAAGTCTAATAGCTTGAAACTCTAAGAGTTACACTTCAGATATGTTTTCAATTAGAAAATAGTACAAGTCTGAAATCTAATCTGGTATTATATTTTTTTTCTCTCTTAATCAATACATTGTAAATTGACCGTAAGATTATAAAGATGACTGAGATTTTTTAAGAAAATGTATTCTCAGTACTGTTCTCACTCCATTTAAGCACTTCAGAAACACTGCCCCAAAACAAGCAGTCAGAGATGCTACAAGGAAGCATTTAGATTGACTTTTGCTTGAGTCCACAAGTAAGTGGAGTCAGACTCATGTTGTTAACCATGGTCTGCAGACAGCTCAGATGGGAACAGGGAAGGACAGTCTGTGCTGAGGACCAGGACAGCAGCTGTGGTTGGGGAGCACAGCTTCAGGTGAGAGATGCACAAGGGATGGCACAGGGACACATTGCCATTCACCTGTGAGTCCTGTGGGGGCCTCCTCCCACCACCATTTCAAAAGGGCCTTTCCTGCTTCAGGCAGTTCTGAGCTGGCCAAACCTATTGATCTGAAGAACTATAACTTCTTTTGATTTTTTTCATCTGAGTTTTGTTCCAGAAGGCAAACTCTCAGCTCAGATCCACCCACTCAGCTGAATGAATTCTACCTTTAGAATTGACTAACTGAATGACTCACCCTTTGTCCTGGGTAGCCCACCACCCCTGCTTCACCTTTTTCGAGAGGAAAGAGAAGAACACCCTAGGAAAGATTGCAGGTCAGTTCAGTGTATTTCTTCATTATGTACAAAAAAATTGCAACACTGTCTATGGAAGCGAAACAGGAAGAAAGCATCCTTGTAACACAAGCATAATCTAATAATAGCTGCATGTGAAAGAGCTGTTGTCCTTATAATTAAGTGTAACATGCTTGCTTTGTTACAATAGCAGGAGCAGGCCATTAGAGAGAGGACAGTGTCTCCCTCCTATCATCTCCTTTATTTCTTCTGTGTCTGCAGCTCTGAAGAAGAGCCAAAGTAATTATTCAGCTATAGAACCAATTAAGCAACTCAGCTTATGCCCGAACTGTAGCTTCAGAGAGCTGTTTGGCAAACACAGGCACGCTGCTATCCATCCTACTATACAAAACAAAAGAAGGGGAGAAGCACATTTCCCCTTTTGCCACATCAGCATATAATCACAGTTTTTCTAATGAGCACAAAAAAATCCAACATGTGTAGAATATGATCAGCAGCTGAACAACAGGCTAGCAACCACACATGGAGGGCATCAGGGCTCACAATGTGACCTTCTCCCATAACCTTGTGGAGCTGCTGACCAGACCATCTGAGAAAATAAAGCTCTGCAAAATGCTCAGCAAGGCATCCCTGCTTAGTAAAGATTCTGTTTTAAACCCCTCTGGGAAGTCAAAAGGAACCACTCAATGGCAAAGCTATTTAGTCAGTCTAGAGCTTGTCTGTGAGTTATAACTAAACCATGTTCAGTCAAGCTGGGTTGACAGCTGTACACAATACAACATATGGGATTACTGCCCACTTACTCAACAGATCTGAAAAACCATGAGACAAAAAGTTTGTATGTGTTGGACAGTAGGCTAAAAAGGATTAAAAATACAACATGTTCTTATTGAATAAAATACAGTGAAATTTTAAAACATAGATCAGAAGAATAAGCAAGGAGATTTATTAATAATTAGAACTAAAATTAAAAATATGTGAGGGAAAGTCTTATTTCAGTAAACCAGTAAGAGAACAACTGATTGTACTGTGGAGTTATTACACATCAAGCTGTTCAGTTTTTCTGAAGCATTAGAAGTGGTGTCTCTGCTTATAACACATCTATATTGCTCCATATCTATATTGCATCACATCAGTGAAGAGCACACAAGTATTAACTCCAATATTATTATTTGACTTTGTTCTTCTCCACATGACTTACTGGAATTCCAGCTTCTCCTCTTGGTCCAGGGTCTCCTCTTTCACCCTAACAATAAGGAAAAAGTATTCAGATAGGTTTGGCATTCCCACTTACATTTTGATAACTTTTATACAACACAAAATGACTGATCAAGAGAAAAAACACTACTCTTGTGCTGTTCTTTATTCATACACTTCTTGTATTAAATAAATGCTTTCATGATAAGTTTTTGAAGTTGCTTTTTAGAGAAATACTTGATAATTTTTCTGAAAAGATCTCTAGGAATGTCAATGCCCAGCTCTTTCCAGGCTTGTTCATGAGATGTCTGGGTGGTGAGTGCCAAAGGAATGCCTATGAATAAATGCACACTCTCCCATTTTTAACCTACTGATTATCTACAAATTATTTGATCAAGAGCTCCAGTTAGGGTAAGACAAATCATAGCCTAAATTCCACTCTCTATATTGATGACATCTCCATTGAATATAACAGCTCTCCAGGTAAGTAGTTCAATGTGGGTGTCTACTTAGTCATGAAAATCTCAGCATGTATGTTATTTAGGACAGACTGAAGAGTATCAAAGCTGGTTTTAGATCTTCCTGTGTCATAGCAATTTACTCATCTTACTGCAGAAATCGTATGAGCCACATAAACTTTCTAACTTCAAATGTGGGATGAAAAGTAACTGATCTGGAGGTTGGTGTCTGATACAGAATGCACACATACAGGGTATGACTGCCTCTGCTCCCAGCAAGGAGCAGCAGATGAGAATAAACTGCATCTTCCATGTGGGGATTTCTCCAATATGTAAGAATAAGCCTTAACTCTAAGTATATAAATATCTGCATCACACAGATAAGTTATCAAAACAAACACAGTAATGGTTTCTCAGCAGGCATTTCTGCTTGTAAAATGAGATGTGAGTGATGGCCAGTAGCTGCATGCTTAAACAAAAAGAACAAGTTTGCCAAAGACATCTCTAAACTTGAGAAATACTTTCTGAATTACTTTAGCCACCACAGTTTCAATGAATTTGTTATGATCCAAGTTTGTGAAAGTAGCAGATTTCTCTTTTGGTATATTAAAGTCTTTTAAGTTCTATGTTACAGCATGTTTGTACAATATTTTAGTTTTGGTAGCGCAGAGCTCTTGGTTCCTTTTTTATTTCAGAAAAATGCTCTCTTAGTTACCTTGTGCTTGTCAGGGGGGACACCTGTCAGTTCTCTTGTAGGAAGCCCAGGTGGACCTGGAGGACCTGGAGAGCCCTGCAGGGAAAACACAAAGGAACATTCACCAACAGCTCTAATTCCTGGCCAAGTTGATCAGCAGAGGATCTAGGATACTGCAGAGAACAGCACAGATTTGCCCCTAATGGAAATCTGGTTCTAACCATATACAACCATACCAGATAAATTTGTGGCAAGATAAATTAATTTTGTGCTGGGTAAACATATAGCAGTACTTGCTCTTGCCCTGTGTGTTTTCACAACAGCAAGGATTATTGCATTACATAAAGTGGCCTGGCTTTATAAATTTCAGAAGTTACCTCTGTGTCAGTGTAAATGAGAGCACACAGAGAACTAGACATGTAGGGGTTAGTTCAGCTATGATGTCCCTTACTGAGATTATAATTACTTTCAGACCTATACTTCATTTTTCTCTTATAATTATATAATGCAATTGCAAATGAAGAAAGTATGTAAAGCATGTTAATTTATAAATAGCAGAAAACATCCACCTTCCCTTTAGTAGTGATATTAATTCATTAGTTTTCCTTTACCTGTTCACCTTTTTCTCCAAAGAAGCCAAGTCCCCTGTTGCCCTGCAAAAACAACAGGTCAATGTTTACCAAGTGTACAACTCTAATCTAATATAAAATTCAAATTTAAACATGCTTAAAGGCCTTTTCAGGCTTACCAATCTGTATGACACCACTGAAGAATGCAATCAAACAATAGCCTAGGCTTACCTTGAAGTATTTTTATAGATTTAGAAGTAATTTTACAGACCCAAATTTTTATAAAGACAACTGTTTAAAATACCATACTACCAGTTCTTCTTTGAGTCATCCACTGAGTAAGGTCATGAAAAGATCAAGCATTTCTTCTGAAAGATTTTTTAATAGCATTGAATGCTAAATAAAAACCACCTAAATTGGCTGGAACAATGAAGTCATATATTTTTTCCATGGAGATAAAACTGAGTATTGTGAAGACTGCAAGGATTCTCTGTTCATGGAAAGCTACTGTGACTACAGTAGCAAATTAAATCTGGCTCTAATCTTTTCAGGGTAGGTGATCCCAGTGTAAGATTAACTTCCCATGGTATGCAGCCAACACAGAAATTCTTGTGCTACACAGTCTTTCATGCAGCCCATGGTTCTTTCTTTTACTGCCTTCAAGTAGGTCTTGGATAAACCTCAGCAAGAGAAAATCAACATCAACAACTCTGACACAAAGACTTACTTGTGGTCCTGGGGGCCCTGGGGGTCCTGGTGGTCCCTGGGGAAGCACAAGAGGGGAGAGCAAGTTACTCCTTGCTTTCTAATCAATGCATGCAGGAGGTTAGTCACCCTCTGGCTGAAACTGAGTACATATTTAGTAGGGAGTGTATTCCTCAGCATCCCATGTGCCATTATTACTATTTGAGCTGTATTTACTGTTCTGAAAAACACTTTCTTAAGTCACATTGTAATCTTTCTGAGCAGACTGAGTTACCCAGCCTAGATCTAATGAAAACCCATTTTTCCAAGTAATAAGAACTTCTGCTTTTGGATCCTGACTAAGGAACATTTTAAGCTCATACCTAAAGCTAAGCACATCTTTAAGGGCTTCACTGGGCTGCAGTTTTGGTACTGTACTGGTCTGTAAGGGGGCTGAACTATCATAGACATCTCAGGTTACCTATTTGGGATTGTACAGAATGAAACCAAAGGAAGATGGTGGAAAATGAAACTAAAACAGGAAATACATCTGACAGAGGCTTACAAGAGGTAGGAAAGTCTATTAATTGAAGAGACAACCTTCCTTGCTTCAGTCAGCTATGGTAGTTAACAGGTTCCAAAGGGCTTTACACATTAAAAACTGTCAAAGGAGGGAAATCTGGGGTGAATAAGAAGCATGAGCTGCTCAGCTCATGGTGAATGAGTGACACAGAAAGGAGAGAAGGTTGCAGATGGAACTGTCCACCTACTGAACCCTGAAAGGGGATGTTAGCTGCATAAAGGAAAATTCAGTCTAACCTGCAAGGAAAAGATAGTAACATTCAGGTGAGACCTGAACTTTTTAGGCACCTCTGCTTGCTACATATCTTTGTGTGGACAAACACTAAACTTGTTCTGAAAGAAACCTGCTTTTGAATCACTTTTGGTGACTCCAGTAATTTGTGAACTACTGCCTAACTAGTGGGCAGATGCTGCACAGGGTATCCCCTAGCCTGGAGAGCCTGCAGGGACCTGGGGGAGCCAGGCCTGCCTTCCTGCACTACCCAGCTCTTAGACAAGGGCAGTGATGCAAACTCACACCTGTGAAGTGCTCCTGGGTCTCTCACAGGAGAGTCAGAGCTTTAGAGGCAGTAAGTAAAACTGGATGTATTTTGCTCAAAAGAGATGTTGCCAGTATGGTAAGCAGAGGGATGTGGCTGTGGGAGCTCCCCAAGACAAGGGCACAGAAAATGTGTGGTTCATAGCACTCCTAACATCCCAGAAAGAGCACTGGGAATATGAGTCACTGCAGGCTGGGCTCCTGTGTGAAGCTCATGAACTTCTGTGGGTTTGCTCTAAAGAAAGAGTAAGTAAGGGACTGATTTTCCTTCGACCAGTAAGAAAGAAAAAGCGCAGTTTACTCCAGGTGATAAAACAGACCAGTGCAGAAAATTAACTCTGAAAGGCTTAGCATACTGTGGATTTTTTTTTGTTGTTGTTGTTTTGCTTGGTTTAGTTTGGGTTTTTTGGGGCTGGTGGGGAGGGGGGTGTTCCTGAAAACAGCTATGGAGGCTGTGAGTGAGAAGCCCCAAATTAATTTTTCCCCCTCAGACCAGGGATGTAAAGCAGGTCTAAAGTAAATTTAGACAAAACAACGATAAAAGCAAATGCTACAAAGTTGTATTACAGGAAAATAAAAGAAGCTTAAAGAAAATGAGATCTACTGAATTTGAATACCTGCTTCTCACCCATGAAACTATTAACCATGGAAATAAGAAATGTAGAAATTGTATCTGGAGAGAACATAGTCTTCTCAAAGAACTATAGTGCAACAGGTGTGAACATCAGTGCTGTAAATTACAATTTTGGGAAAAAAAATCCCATAAAAATAGTTTAAAATTGCATTCTAAATACCATTCAATCTCCTGTGGGAAGCATAGAGAGCTAATATACATATCCTTTGTGAGCAGAAAAGGTAACATATTCAAGTCATTCTGATAACTCAGTGTAGGAAGATGTTCTAAGGAGGTTAAAAAAATACAATATGAATCAAAAGCTTCTGACAGCACCCCTATACACCTCTTCATGCAATATTCATCCCTCAGTGTCTCACTGTGCTTTTTAAAAGGTCTAATGTCCATTGACACCTTCTTGCTATTTCTAACCTAGGTTACAATCCAACATAAGGGAACTTGATGAGATAATTCTTCTGTTTGGTTAATTTTCTAGAGAACATAATTTTAATGTACTTACTGGTCTTCCTCGCTGTCCTCTTGGACCAGTAGGTCCTTGAATACCCAGTGTACCCGGAGGTCCCTTTAAATAAAAAAATCCACCAACTATCAATCAATGTTGTTCTGATATTAGTTACTGTTACACTTTATCACATCCACTGTAATGCTACTTACTGGAAAACCAATGACCCCTGAATCCCCAGGATCTCCCTAAAAAAAAACAAAACAAAAACAAAGAAGTAAAAAAAATCCAATAAATTCTATATACAAAATTGAATAAAATATTTTATCCATTAATAATATTCTCCTCATTTAAACAACTAATTATAGCATGCAATGCTACTCAAACCTTTCCATACAGATGCATTTCATAGAGATATTGAGATAATTGAATGTGGGCCATGTATATTTCATAGTCTATAGATAACTGCATGCAATAAAGTAGCAGGGTACAAAGTTGGCTAATGAAGTTAGGGATCCAAATTACAAGGCTGGACTATACAACAGACCACACTGAATTTTTTGTTGAAAAATCCTATCTCACCAGTGGCTTAATTTGGGCTCTAACCTTAGATAAAATGTCCAAGCTCATTTTTGTGAGTTGCATGGGAATTACTGAATCATTTTGATTCTCTTCTTAGTCACTAAAAGCATTTGGAACATACTGTTTTCAGTGACCACATATTTTAACTTCAGTACATGCTGAAATGTTTTTAGAAATTAGATCCAAAAATGTTCTAGCCCAAAGACCTTTCAACACACATAAATAATGTGTTATTCAGGCCAAACACCTTCAATCATTTTGAGTAGCATCTTAACTACCTAGTTAATTTGGGTTTAGTTAACAGAATAATTTGTGGAACCAAATACTTTCTGAAATGAATACAGGTGTCAGTATCCATCCTTGGCCACAATATAGTTGAGCATTTCTTAAACATTACTTAATCTCTCCTGATTACTAACAGTGCAGATCTGAAGATTTTCTAAAAGGAAAAGAAGTTTCCATTAAAAATACAGGCAACTTACAAATACGTCAAGAGAAATACCTATTTTGGCACTTACTGCTGGCACAAAATACACACAAACAATGTCAGCAGATCCCTTCTGTGCTGAGTATAGCTCAGTTGCAGCTTTTCAGTCAGCCACAATTTATACTCTACATATGTAATCCCTTATCTCCTTCTTATACCTTCAAATTATGCAAGGTTATATATATATATATGAGAAAAAGCTGTAAGTGATTACAAAACAAGCTTTAAGGATTAGACACATTGGAATACTGGGGGGTTACTAAATAACTAAATAAAATATTGAAGGATATTTTACCCTAAGTCAATCAAACACTTGCATGACAATTTTACAGGAAAGGTGCCAATAGTAACCAGAATCATTCAATGGACAAACCAATGGCAAAGAAAGGGTTTTGCCATGCATGATACAAAGGTAGTAATTGAATAAAGAGGGAAATATCTGACCTACATCATCCACAGTGCCTTTGCAATCCACCTATAGGATGACACTCTTTGGAAATAACAGAGTTCAGATTTTTCCCCTTGGACATCATATAAACCTCGCTGCAACCAGAGAAAGCAGAAGCTGTCTTTCAAATCCTACACAAAATCAAAGTGGGCCTCTTGGGATGTGCCCATCAGAGTATAAGAAAAATTTGCTCTCCATCATGTGTCTGCAAAACTGCACTGGGCAAGAGTAACTGGGGGCAGTTCTGGACGTACCCTGTGTCGGCTGATGATCTCCGGCGCCACTATGTACGGCTCCCCCTTCTGGCCCTTGGGCCCCTGCACTCCCTGGAGGTGACCAAAAAAACCAAAACACAACGTGAGCTCCCACACCATCTCTGCTAACATGTAAACAGCTAAGAGTGACATGAAAAATATTTGTTGGTGTTTTTGTAAGTGTACATAAACATATTGCAGTTTAGAGGTAGAGACTATGCCTAGCTTTGGAAATTTATGGTTTAGAAAAAAAAATGTAAACCCTCACAGTATGTAAAAGAATGAATTTCTAAATTTTGGGGAGAAGCCCCCCATTACCAGGGAGTGGTATTATGGGGTAGCACCTCCTAGCTAGAACTGATGCTGCACTTCCCAGGGCTGACATGTGCCCACGTAAATCCAGGAGTTCCACTGCTCACATCAGCAGGATCCTGTGTATCTCACCATGAAAAGCCAATACTATGGCCATGGGGCCGGGAAGAAAAGGATACTTTCATCAGCAATTTCGAGTTTAATATTATTTTATTGCTGTTGATTAAAGCTGTACAGCTTTTCCTACAGCAATCTCTCTGCAAGACCTGTGTGACAGGTACAGCTCTGAGCAGACCTTGTGGCCCTGGCTGCAATGCAATGACTGCACACTGTGCAGTGTGTCCACGCTGAGTCTGCACCAATGCTCTGCTGGGCCACAAAGCCCCACATTCCCTTTGTTAAGAGATGTCCCATTAACCCAACCCATGTGTGAATGAAAGTCACTCCAGCAATGTTCTTAGCTTCAGGTACTCACTTACTGCCAGCTACTTACAATGCTACCAGGGAAACCAGAGAATCCAGGAGTTCCTGCATCACCAGGATCACCTGCTGTCCCATTACAGCCATCATGACCTGGTTTCCCCCTTGGTCCTGGCTGGCCTGGATGACCCTGTTGAGGAAAAAAAAAAAAGTGTTTATCTATCCATCTGTTTCTAGTTTTCCTTTTCCTGTAGTCACAAAGTATTTAGACATTCTCACATTAAGCCCAAGGCTTGGATCCATGGGAAACTAGGATTTTCAAAGACAGAAACAGACAGTGCCTTTTTTTAATATAGCTGCAGCTTGAACCAGATGCCCCAGACAGCATGAAAAAACGAGTAGTGAAGGACCTCTCAGAAAGGGTAAGAAAGCTATGTTCAATGTAGACACTGTTATGCAGAGAACTAAGCCAGATGAGGCTGCTGTGCAGGGATCCACCAAGAACTGGGATTGGTAAGCATTTCAGTGCTTCACATTGGAAGAGTGGGAACAAATGCTCCTCACTGAGTTTGAACAGCTTCCAAGTCAGGAAAAAAGTCAAAGATGCTGTTGGAGATAGACTGAGTGTCATGATGAGGCTGTAAAAATGGAAGAAAACAGCAGGGCTCAAAGGTAGTAAGCTGGGGGCACTCCAAGACCTTGACACAGAGTCTCTGAAAATTTACTCCTGTCTCAAACTGTATTTTCATTGCTGTTCCTGCATTCACCTTAACTGCTGTTGCTTCTGGTTTGCACTGAGGCTGATGAGAAGCAAATCTTCCCTTGAGCAGCTCTTTGTTCCAGCAGGCTCAGTCAAAAAAACCCAGAAACTAACATAAAACATTTCTTCCTTCTCCTTTATCTATAGAAAGAGTTTTCTCTTTGCTTTTGCTCCATTGCTTAAAAAAAATAGAAGAATATCCATGTCCTTACTGAGCTCCACCAAATACTCCACCAAATACTCCACCAAAGCCACCATTCTCTCTTGGCTCCCAGCCCCACATCTTAGCACTCTGCCACTGTGATTTGTTCAGGTGTCTATCTACCTGCCTTCCCATGGTCAGTGAAAAAACTGGTTGGAAAATATAAGGGTGCCTGAAGGGCAGGGGCAGCTTGAAGAGAGTACACAATAAAAATGCAGGTTCCAGTTCTGTCTGAAGGTATTTATCCCTCACAATGCAATGTGCAGAGGTCAGGGAGGCAGGGCTGAAAAAGAAAACATGCCCAGGTAAGAGAAGCAGTCCAGCTATAGCAACAGGGGAGCAATTTACTCTGCTTCCCAAGATGTGTCAGTGCTTAGAAAAAAACTCAGCATGATGCAGTGAGATGAACAAGATCCTTGGCTCAGGAGTGTTAATAGAAATGGCAAATATGGTCTTTTTTTCCTTAAAGAGTAAGAAAGAGGGAGACAAGGAAGATTGTGAGAGAGAAATCCCTGAAACTTGATAGGAAGCTCTTCTGGAAACAAAAGAGGGTGAAAGTAGAGTGGATGTGGATGCGTGGGCTGCAAAGCGGGGCCCCGGTGTCAGGGAGCACTACAAAGGAAACCCAAGCCTGGGAACTCTGTCCAGGGATTCCAGTGACTTAGATTTCTTTGTTATTTTATGACACAAGATGTAAAGAAGTGTAGGCTGGGAAAATACTGTGCTGTGAACTTTACCCGGTTTTCCTCTTTGAGTGTTTCAGTTTCATAGACCTGGTCCATTTGTTCAAAGTTTTACACTGTTTAGTGCTCAGTAAGATTTTTAAGACAATCTCAAGCATGCCATATGAACTATAAGGCAAATTAACCATAGTTAGTATTCTTAATATCACTGGTTGTTATACCAGCTTTGCAAATCAGAAATAATTAGGAACAGCCAACTCATGTCTGTTGTTCACAAGCTTGATAGTTGTGAAGCACTTCAGTCACAGGTCTTTCCTACAAAAGAACATACTTAGCTGGGTAACCTCCAGAGACACAGGAAATTTCTATCCTTTTCTGCCTCTTTTATAAGGGGATTTCTCCATAAGACAAAGCAAATGGACCTTAATTATCTGAGGAATGAGAGGGAGCACAGATTCTGCTCTTTTGTTGTATATCTTCAGTTCCACTCACTTCAGCAAATGGCCTTAGCTGAAAAATGTGTACGTGGCTGATACAGAATTTAACCCAGACATTTTAATTAAAGTACAAAGGCTTTAAGCTAGCCTGCAATATTTGCATTTGGTGATTTCTTAAAGATGAAGTAACCCGCTACTTACAGGAATGCCATCTGCCCCGGGGAATCCAGTGACTCCTCTTTGTCCCTAGAGTGAAACAGCACAATTAAAATGATGTCCTGCTAGCATTTTGCTTATTAGCTAAAATATTTGATATTCAAAAGTTACCACTTCTCCTTTGGGTCCAGTTATTCCTGGGTATCCTCTTTCACCTTTGTGACCTTTGGGACCTTGCACTCCTGGGATTCCCATCAATCCCGGTGGTCCAGTGAATCCCTGTGATCCAAGGAGTCCTGGCTGGCCCTGATAAAAACAATAAAACAGCATTGACATAGGAACAGTTGTGATGTATGAAGCTGGATAGGTTATCACTCCTGCAACAAAGTCAATCTCTCAAAGAAAAAATAAACACAGAATTTCTTTCCATCACAGTAGGCCAGGCTCTTTGATAAAAGTCATCTGAAATGCCACACAGAGAAACTCCAGCAGCAGTGACTATATTGCATATGTGGTCACAAAATTAACTCATGGATACTAGCATTCAAATCAGTATTCACTACTTCAGTATTCATGGCCAATCTATGAAAAAACTGTTTTCTTTGGAATGAAGTTTCTCAAGAGTGATTCTCCTACAACATAACATATGACACTCCAAACAAGTAAAATATGATTAACTGTGAAATTTGCTTATTGGCCATATATATTGTGAGTGGAGTCTGATATTTAATGGCAGGAATTTCTGCCTCTTTAGTGACAATACTTCTATTCAGCAGTGGAGCCTGAAAGTGATGGGACATGCGTGGATCCACAGAGGTTGAAGAATTGCACACAGGGCTCCTTGGTCGTTCGCCCTTCCAGCGCTGGTTTGGCTCTTCACGCCACTTCAACCATAGTTTAGAAATAATCCCTGTTGGCTGCCAAGATCACAAGGCTCAAAAGGGGAAAAAAACAATTTTGAAATGACACAATGGAGGTTTAAGTAATGGATTGTGACAGTATGTCTGAGATCTCTGAACTGAAGTATTTGAATATTGTTCCAGACGTAGCATCACCAAAGGCACACATGTTTTACATGTACTCACTTCTCTAATGACATTAATAGTATATTGCTGCAATCTTTTCTGGAGAAATATGTTTTAAATGGGGCAAAGCACCATTTACCAAGACATTCAAATTAAGTCAAATCTAATGAAAGTTGTTTTTAAAATGCAATTAGATTTTTTTCACAGACCAGGGTGGAACAGCACCAGTATCTCACAAAGGAGAAGAACTACAGCAAACCATGAACAAACACATACATATTCATACCACAAGGTTGATTAAAAATACTATCTTCTTTTAGTAGAAAATACTTACAGTCTTTCCCATGCCTTCAAAGAAAGAGCTAGAAAGTGAATGCAATTCCTGTTCAAGAGTTCAACTTTATTTAATGCCATTGAGGTGGAAAGAGGGCAGTGTGGGGACTTGAAAAAAAGAAACCTGAAGATAGCCTAATTTCATTAGATTAGGAAGTTGTACCAAAGACACTGAAGAATGCCTTACTGATGTTAGGCAAAATTTACTTTAGTTTCATAGGCCCATTTGTGATACACTTAAAAATTTCATAGTCAACAACTATCTAAAGTAAACATTTATCTCTGCTGCAGTTATTTTCATACCACACACCCCAAACCACCGCTATGACTGAAGCACAGCTTACTTGTAGCTTCAAAAACAAATCAATTTTCCACCCTGCTTCCATGCAAAATGGTTGTCACAACACTTGGGGTAGGTTTTATACTTTAAATCTTATTGTATCACATCATATGAGTCCATATGGAGAAGCTGACACAGCCAAACAAACTGAGTGCAAGAGAACTGAGAACTGAGTGCAAGTCTTTAATTTTGGAGGAAGACTAGGAATGAGCCAATATCTACAGTATGATCCATATTGTACAGTATGGATCTTTTGCTCTACTGTTAAGACTGATTTGACAAGACTGATGGTTTAGGAGCAGTGCCAAAGGACAACATGAATTTAAGTGTTTGAGCTGTCAGTGTGAAAGAGAATTCCCTCTGCTTACAACCAAACCTGACTTTATACAGCATCCCTACTTTTAAACCAAGCCTGCTCATGAGGTGCTAAGAGGCCAATGTCTTTTCAGATTAACAAAGTGAGAAGAAACAAAGATTACATGAATACATTTAAAACATAAAAGAACTCATGTTGGCAGGAGGCATATGCATCTGAACAAGCCGCTGCTCATTTCCTTATGCCAGGCACCACTGGCTGGCACAAATGCATCTACCTCCACCAGCAGCAGTTTTTAGTTTTTTTCAAAATGCAGTGATCCCTAAAATTTATTCTGTGGAGGTACAGATCCCAGTAGACATATTTTCTGAGTTGCCTGACTCAAATGGAAATCTAGTGCTGATTAAAAGCACTAGAGTAATAACGTAAATCTGAACCAGAATTTTTCATTGTGAGTTTCAAGATCAGGAAAAAGAAAATCTTTCTTATACCACATTTTCTCCACTTTTCTTATCTACTATGGCTCAAAACTTATGTATATAGGAATTGATAAAATACATATAAGCATGCCCCATGAAACTGCCTTTTTAGGGAAATAAACATTTCATTCATCAAAAAATGGAGTCATGATAATTTTTTTTTGGTTTGGGTTCTTTTGGTAGAAAAGTATAAATTCCCACGCAAATATCAATAAAAATATTTCAATTTTACTATAAAGCCTTTAAACATTATTCAATGCTTAAGGTAGTTTGTTCCTCATGCACTCAAATCTGGAAAGGAACCTTTAAAAAGGTTCAAAAAGGATGGAAACATATCCATTACATCCGCAAAGAACACTGAAAAATGATTAACATTCATTTGTAGAGATTTGAGTTGGCTCCAGTTGCATTTAATTTCTGAAAACAAATGTTTCAGTTTCTTCTGCAAAGAAAGAATACATGGGTTCTGAGCACTGAAAATGCAACTTCATTTCTGGAGTACCTGAAAGCCAGAATAAATAATCTAAATTCCAAAAACCACTCGTCCTCCTGAGATAAGGAAACTGTCTCTTTAGTGCCCCTCTACCCTCCTTTGGGGGGCAGCTGTCTGGAGGTAGAACACAAGTAAAACTTTTCATTGCAGTTTCTGATAAAAGGCTGGTTATGTCCAGGATTTTTAGATCTGTGCCTGGCTTTCTATAGGGACCATGCAGAGCTGTACAGTTCAAAGGTGGTATTCCATGGAATGGAATGGTTACCTCTCTAACTCCTACATCAGATATCATTCTCCCACTTCCAGTCCCATTTTCCTTCTGGTGTGGAGGAAGAAATAAACAAGGAATGGAAAACAAGGAGGAGGACTGGGCATCAGCACCCCTTCCCCATGCCTTCCTGGTAGTTATCTGGTCATTTGTTTGTTGAGGAATATGGGTTATTTAATATGAGGAGAAGAGAACAGATCCTCATGGGACTAGTTTAACACAAGGCTAGAGTCAGAGCTAGGGAAATACTTAATATCATGACAATGTTTGTGTAATTCCTCAGCCAATTAGTACCTTGGCTTGTTAAATGAATTAACTTTGTTAACCTTTGTTAACTCAGACATGTCAGCTTTAACTCTGCTTTCTTTATCTTAGATCTTTTGTTGGACAAGTATGTCCCCTTTTCATTAGCAAGTGACCTAAGAACATTCTCTCTTTGGCAAAGGACACTAAGGAGATTTCAGCAAAGACAATCAGTTTGAAAGGTTCAGTCAAACAAAGCATGACTCAGTTCTTAGCCCCAAATACCCCTGTGTGACACATGCCATGCATGGTAGAACTCTGTCTGTGCTCTTGGAGGGTCAGAAATTCTAGAGAATTCTCCATAGCTATAAAATTGTGCTTGACTTAAAATCTCCAGGTTTAAAAAAAAAAAAAAAGAAAAAGAAGCAAGCCTAGGGGAACATATCATCCATGTCATAGTTCAGAAAACTCATTTAGTTCTTTCTCTTGAACATGCAGTGCCCTTCCAGTTTCACTAGGGTAAACTGGACCTCTTCCCTAGTCCAGAGCATGGCACCATTACCCTGTGTCACCCACCAGGGGACTTACAGGCCAGTGCTAAGAGGCTCACTGAAGTGTGTGTGGAATGCCATGGCCAGCACCTCTGAGAGAGCACATGAAAAGAAAAGGAAAAAGTGGGCTGATGGAGTATGTTGAAGATTAACAAGAAGTTCTTTCATTGCTTTTATACTTCCACAACACTTTAGTTGAATTACAAAGCTCCCAATGTCAGGATATATACCTAAATAGGCAGTCCCTGCTTTGCTCTTCCTGCAACTTCAGCTAACTGGAAGAGGTCTCACAAAATTCTTGTGGCCAGCCTAAATATTGTGCAAAAACTATTTACAGAGAGGAGCAAAGGTTGGAAATTAGAAAGCCTGAAGGAAATCTCCCCAGGAAATATTTGCCATGTTATATATACATTGTCACTTGTCCAGTGACATGCATGAAAGAAAATGCTGTCAAGGTTGTGACTGAATTCAATAATTACATTTTGCAATTAAGTACCAGTGGACGTAAGAAGATCCTGATCAGACTTTTAAATTTGTACTCAATGTTCATGTTTTGCAGCTTGAACTTTAATTTCCAGTTCTTTTACCATCAGTCAGATGAAAGAGCTGTCATGTTGCAATACTTTCTTCCTTCTAATTTACTGTTAAATTTACAGTGTGGAAACAAAATTGACAGAGGAGGGTGTGCTAATCTTGAGAGCAACCAAATGTTTGATGTGCTATAAAAAGAGAGACGCAATGAATGAGAGTACCTGGTCCAAAGGTTTTATAACACAAGGATCATGAATTGCTGAGAAATCCACCTACCAGGGTGGAGATACAAAGATAGGAGAAAAATGTTGATTTGCAATAAAGAGGAGGCAGAATCAGAGTTTCTACAGAGCTTCCCAGCCACTGAGCCCATTTCTCCATGTTTCATTACAGATAGCCATTTTGCAATTGCTTCTGGTACATGGAATGTGATGATTCAGTATTCCCCACATGGAAACGAGCCTTGTAGACCATCATTTCCTTTAACAGTGGACAAAAAGAAAGGAGGTTAATTCCCTGACATTTTAAAAAGGTCACTGGTGAAAGGACAAGTTCATTTCCTGCGGGAAGGGTGATCTGACCATGACAGACAAACTGGAGCTGGGATTTTTTTGTAAGAGCTCTTAGTCTGGAATGGTCCCTGTAAGAACAGATGGGGAAAGGACGTGACAGCAAGGACCTCAGTGCACTCCTACTCAGTGAGACCAGCAAGTGGAACAGACAGCAA